CTGGCGAAATGTTAGGAAGAAAAACCTTCAGAACACGGCCAAACAGCCTGAAAAACCTACAACAACAATAATGCCAATTTCTTTCAAGAAAGTGTTACGCACACCTCGCTACATGTATACTGAAGTCTTGCTGCAATTAGGGACTGCTCCATAATGGGACAAAGACACTTTCTAGCTTGCTCATATAGTTGATCCTTTCCCTTCTGGACCATTGGCTGTTACACAAAAAGTCTTATCTCAAGAAACCACTAGTCTCACCGTTTGGAGGGTTTCGTAAAATGGCCCGTGATCATTTCATTTCAATCCATATTATTTTACGCTGTGGACTGCAACTACTTATTTTTTTTTCTTTGCACAGGAAGGCTCTTGAATGAGTTTATTACAGAAGAAGAGGTTGGGGCAAAAGGCTGATGACAGGCAGAGCAAAAAGAAAGAGAAGAGAAGAAAACAGCACCAGACAGAATTGTTTAGCTGTGTAATTGCTTTTGTCTTAGCTGGACCGGTAGCTGGATGAAAGACAGAAGTACAAAAACAAACTAGGACTAAGTTAGGCAGTGTGGATGCAATGACAAACCCCAGCTAACACAAGCTGACTTCAAGTGAGCTGGACACAAAGGACAGTCAATTGGCTTGAGTGTGTTAAACAAACATGGTTTATAAAACAAAACACGGTAATTTGTAATCCCTGGTCCATGAACCATCAGTGGTCCACAAAGATGCAGCAGAGTGGTCTGTGTGGCAGAACATTACCAATGATTGATCAATGATGCTGTGACTTGTAGCAAGAATGAAATAAATGACCAGGAAAGTAGGGAGAAGATCAAAACAGTGGTCATATTCACTTTGTTTTCTGTATTATACTGTGATGAGTGCAATATGTTTGTGAGTGAATATAATAAATTATTAGACACAAGTACATGTTAATGTCCCTTGATATATGTTTGATTAAAATCGGCTGCATTAAAACGTGGTGGTCTACAGAAGCTTCAGGTGATGATGCAGTAATCCACAACAGGGGAAAGGTTAGGACATGTTGGCTTAGAATTTTACCATTAGTTCTGTAACTGGCTTAAAATATTGTGCATTATTAAAGAGTGGTCCTGTCAGTGAAGTTGTCCTGATGCTTCCAAACCAGGCGATGAGATTTGCCCAACCAGCATCTCAGTTCTCTTACCCATTCTGCATGTTAAAATGTTATTTTTAAAAGAATCCTTTGCCCATATTGTTTTAGAATGCCGTATGACAAATCTGTCACAGAGCCAGGGCAGAACAAAGGAAGCTTACTATGCCCAGTCGTATCATTGGTATAACTGACCCAGCTATTGTCTACTCTGCTGTACAAAATCTCAGTCAGAGGCCTTTTGTATCATCTGCTTCCTGTTCCTTTTTAAATGGAGATGCCGGAGTTAGAAAGGGGATCTTTTACCTACAAAGCATGTCCTCTACCATTGAGAAAACAAAGAATACAGCACAAGTTAAATTTGGCTTGACTATGCTGGCAAAAATAGCTTCTGGCTCTACCCTACATTTTCCATGTGCCTCCTTACTGTAGTGCCTATAAACTTGTTACTGCTTTGGGTACCACCAACATCTTATGAGTGCCCATACTCTTATGTTCTGCAAGGAAACGGGTAAGGCCAAGCACGTTTAAGCACGATAGCAATGCTTCTCTTGATAAGAACTGTGAAAATCAGGGCAGGAGGCAAGATCCATATGAGCATTTGTATGGAACCAGACATTTTCAGCCAGATTCCAGTGGCAAATGTAATGTTTGTTATCACCTAAAAATTTATTTAATCCATGTCCTATTTTTCAGCCCAAAAGTGAGCTCCAGTTGGCTAACAATACAGAATTAAAGACCACAAATAAAATCAGTTTTAGAAGAGGCAGCCATCTTAGTCTGTGCTAGCATATCAGGCAAAAATAAAAGGAAAATAAAACATAAACAAGACAAAAAAATCATTGCCAGGTCAACAACTTGTGCCCAGATACAATCTCTGATTTGTGGACGTGTATAAATGTATATAAATATTTCCCATGTAGTCCCACTTTTATGTCTGAGGAACTGGACTTGTCCGTGAAAGCTAATATTAAAATATAGTAATTGATCTTTTAGGTGCCGCTGTGTTTTTGTCTTCTTTAGCCTCCTCACAGAAGGACAACAGACAGGGAGCCAATCTAGCCTCCCTCAGGAGGTTTGGAAATGGCTACCAAAAAGTATCTGTCTTATATCCCCTCCTGATGACCTGCCTAATGGTGACAGAACTGAGAAGAGCCTTCCTTGAAGACTTTAAAGCATAACAGGCTCCTCAGTTATATAAGAAGAAATGTTTTATTGGTCATGTGAGCAATGGGGATTTGGATAACCAATATCAAATAGGTTGTTTTTTAAAATGATCAACCTGGGATTACCTCAGGAGATCTGCATGTGGATAAAGGACTTTCTGACAGATAGGCCACAGTCAGTAAGGATGGGATCTCACCATTCTTCTACCCTGGTACTAAGTACAGGAGCTCCCCAGGGCTGTGTGCTAAGTCCCTTCCTCTATTCCCTGTACACACATGATTGCACCCCACTGTATAACACCAATGCAATTATTAAATTTGCGGATGATACGACAGTGGTGGGGCTCATAAATAAGAACAATGAGTCTGCTTATAGAAAGGAAGTACAAAGGTTCATACTTTGGTGTAAAGAAAATCATCTCACACTTAACATCAAAAAAACTAAAGAACTCATAATTGATTTTAGGAGGAAGAGATATGTACATTTACCACTGTACATAAACGGTGAGGAAGTGGAGAGAGTTGGTAGTTTTAAATTTCTGGGTACTTACATCTCAGAGGACCTCTCATGGACTATAAATGCCAACATGCTAATAAAGAAGGCACAGAAGAGGCTGTATTTCCTGAGAATGCTCGGCAAGTTAAATTTATCTCAGCATTTGCTTCTGTCATACTATCGTAGCACCATTGAGAGTGTCCTAACCTATGGCATTCTGGCATGGTTTGGGAGTAGCTCTGTAGCGGACAAAAAAGCTCTACAGAGAACCATTAAAATTGCCCAGAATATCATCGGGCTCCAGCTACCAACCCTGGATGACATCTTCACATCCCGCTGTCTAAGGAAATCACATAGCATCCTGAGAGACTCTTCCCATCCTGCTTATAACTTTTTTGAACTGTTACCATCTGGCAGAAGATATAGAACAATTAAGACTCGGACCACACGCTTTCTCAATAGTTTTTATCCCAGAGCTATAATTGCAATTAATAATGAGCTTAAAGACCACCAGTAGTGAATAATTAGTTGGACTGTGTAACTCGGCCTGCGGTGTAGATGTTTGTATTTTTAGTGGGGGACTTTTAGTGGGTGGGGAGTGTTTGGGAATTTTATGTGTGTGCATGTGTCTGGTCTCTGGGTGTCTGTGAATTTCGTTGTATGATATACTGTGTATATACTTACAATGACAATAAATTATTATTATTATTATTATTATCCATTATCATTATTATTATTATTATTATCCAACAGTATTTCTGTCTCTCTACTATCTCTCATATAATGGCTATATTGCTTGAAACATGGGGGGTTATAGAGCATATTTTGTGAGTGATGAAAGGCAGTGGATCAGTACTACTTACCCGATTCAAAGTTGTTTGGTTTCGCGGCGCCTTCCTCCCCTTTACCAAAGCGAAGCAAATAGCCTTTTAAAAAGCCCTGCGTATCTGCTACAGGTATGTCCTTCCATTTTATTAAGATGGAATCCGAAGTGGTAAGTTCAATATTAAAAACAGGCGCAACTCTTGGCTCTGGAGGGGAAGCAAGTCAGGAGAAAAATATACATTTTTGCTGCTGTTTTTAAAGATGAAATGCAAATATTAAACTAGAGCAGTACCTCCCAACACTAGGTCCCCAAATGTTCTTGGACTACAACTCCCAGATATGGTGGCCAGCACAATTAGTGGTTAAAGCTTCTGGGAGTTTTAGTCCAAACACTTTTGGGGATCCAAGGTAGGGACCCAGTAAACTAGACCTTTTAGATCAGTTGCATTTTTTAAAAAAATGAAGATATATCATATAGCTCAGTGTAGCCCCTAAAGGGCCTGGTGTGCTCCTTTGCTTCCCCATCTAAATCCCCATAAAAATTGCTCCAAATTATTTTGCACCAAAAAGGCACACTGCACCCCCTAGAGTTCCCTATGTGCATGTGTGAATTGCTCTGTACACCACATTTCCTGCCCTGCATGTACAGTGCAAAATCTCCATCAAAAATCTTATGTCTGTTTTCGGCATGTATGTAACTTGCTCTGTAGGAATGAACAGACAAAAGGAAAAGAGGAAATCATAAGAAATGCTGCTTATCCTGAAAAAGACTTTTGTCTGGCAGTTTATTACATAAGGTAGCCTTCCTGCAGCCTAGGGTCCTCCAGTTTCATCTTCGTCAGCCAACCAAGCAAACAGGAATGCTCGATATGGATGATGGGAGTTGTAGTGTAACCGATCTGGAGGACAGCAAACTGGGAAAGGATGATATAAAGAATGCAACAAACAGTTGGTGTGCATTCAGAAACCATCCATTTACATGCCTCAAATAGACAGATGCTTCTAAAACCGAATTTTTAGCTTTGCATAAGTTGTGTTTTGGGTGATGATGCATTGCAAATCATGCCTACAATCCCCTTAGTCGCTCACTCCCCTGGAAGAGGCCAAAGCGCAGGCAGTCCCTATCCACAAATGACAGAACTTCTGTTAAATTAATGGCTCTTAGTCATCCACTTGATTACAACAACATACTATTTCTGGGACAATCCATTTCTCTTCTGCCTCCTATAAGCTCAGAGGGAACAGGGAATCCTGAAGTGGGTAGCGGATGATGTCCTTGCTACTCAGAACTTCCAAAAGCTGTGAGCCCTCATCATTAGCCTTTGCTCAGCTCCTCACTTTCACTTTGCCTCAATCAGAGTAGACTATGTCTAGATGGGTGGCATATAAATGCAATAAATAAATAAATAAATAAATAAAATAAAATAAATACTTTTGCCAATAAATAAATAAATAAATAAATCAGGCATTCTAAACTTGGACACATAAAAACAGTTCAGGGATTGCTATTAGAGATGGGGGTGACTCAGCATTTTGGCGAGTCGTCCTGCTTCGTGATCTGTCAAAAGTTGATGAATCGTGAAGCACGAAGCTCATGCCCATGAACTGATGAAGCACAAATTCATTAGTCGGTTCATGGGGAGGTGTGGACAAACAGAACCTGTCTAAAAACCAAAGCTGCCCCCTGCCCCCCATTGCCTTCCTACCTTGGCGGCCGCTGCCGCCCCGCTGTTGCTGTCACCCGCCGCTGCAGGGCCGCCACTGCCAGCTGGTGGCAGCACTAAGCTAGGGAGAGGAAGGCGGTTGGGGATAGGCTGTGGGGGTGGGTTGTTCTGAGCCTGGCTGGCTGCCTATCGCCTGCAGATCAGCTGATTGGCAGGCCCATAGGCAGAAAGGGAGGGCCATAGAAAGAGAGGGAAGGCTAGCCTTTCCTCTCTTCCTATGGGGGACAAATAAAAATGGGGCAATATTCATCCCTTCGTATTCATCGGGGTCTCTGGAACTGATGAATATGGAGACATGAATATTTAAAGAATCAGCAATTTAAAGGAATATACCAATTTGTTTTTTTATTTGTCCCTATGTCTAGTTGCTATTTAAAACACTTCTTCGGACTGAAGAGCCACCTTTGCCCCAACTTGTACAACTGAACCCATTTATTTATTTATATGTATGTATTTATTTAAAATATTATTATCCCGCCAAATACCACTCAGAGATGGTAAACACAAGTAGCACTTAAGATCCAATTAGAACAGTAATGCGTAACAATGCATCTAAAAGTCATTTGTGTAGCCTATTTTCATTCAATTTTCTATTCAACAGTTTATTCTATTTTCTATTTTCATATTTTGGGACAGATCAATGGCCCCATTCTAGAAATACGACTTTCGTGGACAGACACTCCTTCTGGGGATGCCACATTAACACTGGAGCTAGTCCTTTGATTTTAACCTGTGTTACTGCTACACAGATACATCATCCTTAGTGCAGCACTTCTGTGCTGCATCACGCGAGTCAATGTGTCAGCTTCAGATCTGTGAGTTGCTCTTCCTTCCTTTGTTGCTGCCTGGTCTCCTTTTTTCCATCTTTTCCCAATTGTGGCCCTGCAGGCACAGCCTCCCTTAATAAAATGCATAGGCCAGTTCTGGCTTCAGACAAAATACCGCATTTCAATGAACCAATTGCATAAACATGAACTACTACAAGTGGTAAGATAAGGCACTTCTAGAGAAATCAGTCTGTTCTTAAATTCCTGGCTTTTGTTCAATAAACTCTCATCACATTAACACATATATTCTCATCCTGATACCTTTTAGTATAAGAATAAAGTGTGCTTACCCAGTTCTTTTATGTAACCATTTATATGCTTCAGTAACTGATATCCATCATCTTTACAACCATAGAGAGAAAACTGGTATCGGACTCCCGGCTGAAAGCGAGCTGTGTGACAGAATCATCATTCTCTGTTACAGTACTATTAACTTGGCATGGCAATGTGCACTTTCACACAAAGTAGGACTAAAGGCAATGCATAATATAATGTATAAGGCTAGTTAACACCTATTTCCACCTACTAGATCAGAGGCAGCAGAAAAGAACAGACAGAAAAAGAACCAAATTAGAAAAAAAATGCAGTGGTGCCTCGCAAGACAAATGCCCCGCAGGACAAAAAACTCGCACGACAAATGGTTTTGGCAATGGGGTTGATGACTCACAAGTCGAATGTTCCTATGGCCATGCTTTGCAAGATGAATGTTTTCCGTTTTTTGTTCCTGCCTCGTGTTTGCTGATTTTAAAATGTTTTTCTATGATATTTAAAAAGTTAGGTTTTTTATTGACATTTTTAAATCATCATTTGCACAATATGTATGGCTTTAAAGAACACTTAATAAACCCTTTTGTAAACCAAATTTGACTTTGTTCTTTTTTTGCTCATAGGAACACATTAATTAGATTTCAATGCATTCCTATGGGAAAACGCGTTTCAGAAGATGAATTTTTTGCAAGACAACATTAACCACGGGATGAATTAAATTTATCTTGCAAGACACCACTGTAATCCTCTAAAAGGAAGAACTGTTCTTTTATGATGTATTCCAGCCCTAACCAATATCCAGAAATCATGAAGCTAGGATCTTCCAGTTTCCCCAGAGACATTGAGATAATATTGTATGTCTCTCCATACAATATTATCTCAATGTCTCAACTAGGGAGGTTAGACATTAGATATTAGACATGCATCCACTACCAGAGGATACCATATGATCCACAGCCAGTAGTGCACACTGAGGACTGCTGAGTGTGTCATGTATTCCAGACAGTTTTAGAGCTGTACATTCTTGGCAGCATGAAAAATCCTCTCTGTTCTCAAGTGCAGTGGAAGGGGAGCTGTCCTACAGTAGGTAGTAAAACCAGATTTTGTTGCCAGCCTAGCAAGCTTCTGTATATGGAATGAGGAGGCATGATCTTGCCTACTGCTCCAGGCAGCAGCATTTCTTGAGCTCCCTCTACTCCCATCAGAGCCACCCATGTCTGAAGCCCCCCACCAGAATAAAAATGAGGAGAAAGCAATAGTTTCCTACCAGATTTGATTTCAGCATTTGTCACACCAATAGGAAACGTCTTCCAGTCGACCACCGGACAGGGCTCTGGCCCATAACACCATCTCAGTGTATAGCCACAAGTCACACTGCGGTCAGAATGCCAAGTAATATAAACACCATCTCCTGTTGCAACAGCATTCTCTGTTGGGACATCATCTGTAACACGGGTAAAGGTCAAATTCATTTCCTCCATTTAGACCGTTTCTCAACTTGCTTAAAGCTGCTTGCGATTACAATGCACAAAACGACCGCCACCTTTAGGCCTGTTCAGTCAACAACCACAAGATTAAAGCAGAACAAACTCCAAATCCAAATCTCATAAATTAAGGATGTGCCATTTGGTTCCCGCATCACAAATCCAATTCCCAGAATTCTCTAAGCATTTCCCAGGCAGAATTCAGAGTTTCAGCCCATAGACCCACACCTGTAGACACCTACACTGCATTCACCTGGACCACGGCCTACCTCAGAGGATGGACAGCCTTCTGAGGCCTGTACTTTCTGCTGTTCATGTGAGAAAAAGGAAGCTGCTACAGTGTTTCCTGGGAGTGTTAGTATCACTGCCTTTGAAGGGTCTAAAGAGTGTGCCTCCCAAAGAACTACCACTCACAGGATACACTGCAGCAGCTTCCCTTTTCTTATATTAACACATGGAGTTAAAGGCCTCAGAAGGCCATCCAGCCTCCAAGGTGGGCTCTAGTTCAGGTGAACAAAATGTAGACACCTGTATGTGTGAGCCTCTTGGCTGGAACTATGGGGAATTATTGGGGAGCTCTGGGACTTGGAGTCTAGGGGGGAACCCAAGTGGTATGTCCTTAGTAGGGTTTTTCACAACTTCTCCTTTAGTCTCCTTCCCCCAGTTAATATTTTCAGGTAAGCATGGAAGAACAAATGCTAAAAACCCCTTGATGCTGATGGTAGGTGCTCAATTCATAAAAATATTGAAAACAACCTGCATTTTAAGGACCAGTGAATAATGCAATTGCTAAAGTAATAGCTGCAGCTTTATTTACCAGATTTGGGCAGCTCCAGAATTGTGGCCCGAGGGTTGCTTGACTCATTGTGACTCTCTTATTTTTAAAATTAACAGCACACTCCAACTATATCTTTTAGTAGCTATTAGACAGGCCAAAACACTTATTTCAGAGTACTTTAAAAATACTGTATTTAGTTACGCTAGAAGGTCCAGTGGTGTTGTGCGGTCTTTAATTTTTTTTTCTTTGAAAACATTATGAATCGGGTGGCAAAATGGATAATAACCCCTAACATCAAATGCATCGAATGCCAAATGAAATCAAGGTACACTGAAATCAATACAACTTCCAAGCATAATTTTAAAATGGAATGTTAGCGTTTTCTCTTTCTCCATATGACCTGACTAGTAGCAAAACCAATTTACTAAACTACTGAGTCTTCAGCTGCTTAGTTTGGAATAAAACCAATGACCCAATATAGACTTGAACTGGCATGCTACAAAGCCTTCCACCTACTGGCAGCCAGAAGTGACATATTTTGGACCTTGCTTGAAGTTCAGTTCCTGGAGTGAAGTTGCCAGCTATGCTGACAGTACTTCTTTCATAAGCAGCGTATCTTAAACGAACAGCTTGCAACCGCGTACAAATACACTATTCTCTCTTCTAGGCATTCAAAGCATTTGCAGAATGCAGGGAGCCCAAGCTGCAACGCCTGCCAGCATATTTTCTCCTGGAGCTTTGCAGATGAGTCACCCGCCATGACTACAACAAGCGCTCTGACTCACAATGCCTCAGAACTCAGCTTTCGTGTGGATAACGCAGAACGATATCCAGCTATTCAAAACTTTCCTTTCTGAGAAATGTCTAATTAGACAGAAAAAAATGGCCGGCTGTTCCCTTGAGTCACAGCTACAAGACTACATGATGTAAAGCAACTTACACTTCTCGGCGTGGGTGGGGAGGGCTGGCCATGTATCACCACCAAGGGCCTAAATGTAACTCCAGGCCAGTTAGTTGCTTTATCAAGTTTGTTCAGCCAGTATTTCAGCACAAAAGAAGAAATATTCAGACAAGATGTTTTGAACAGTATAAAAAGTACTTCAATGACTTTGAATTACATTCACTCTTAATGGACACCGGATGTCTAAAACTCCATACTTTTTGAACTACAACCTCTCAGAATCTCTACTCCGCTGGTTCTGGCTGGGGGACTCTGAATCATCATCCCCAAAAGCTCTGTTGTTGTTTTTTTTAGCACTGCAATATCCTGGCACAGATTCAATTGTAACCAAGCCTGAAAAAATAGCACTATCTTCCCCAACTTTCCCTGTTGCCCTTCCCTTGCCTTCTATTTTCTGACTGTCAAGCCCTCCAGATAAAGCCGGCCAAACCTGTTCTTTTCTCAAGTGAATTCTGCTCTATGTATAAATACTAATAAACCAAACTGACTGCTGAAGAGCTTTCATGCACCTACCACAAAACCTCTGCAAGCTGCAAAGGGTTCCAAAATGTAGGCAAAAATGCACAGTTCTTTCAAGCAGGCTTTATAGAAAGCCCATAAGCAGCAGAAGCACTAAGTCTCCTAAAAGAGACATAGACCGGAGAGATGAAACGTTGTCTTAAACCAGTCTGGCATTTCTGTTCCTGTATCCATTCCAGCCACAGCCATCATCCAATCTAATTCCATCAGCTAACAGACCAGAATAAAACAATTTAGGAAGATGGGCATGGAGAGTAATTGTTTCTCTGTATTCGCGAAGGCTTTCACGGCTGGGATCTGATGGTTGTTGTGGGTTTTTCGGCCTCTTTGGCCGTGTTCTGAAGGTTGTTCTTCCTGACGTTTCACCAGTCTCTGTGGCCGGCATCTTCAGAAGACTGGAGTAGGAGCAACAAAGCATGGGCAGAGTTTCTACTCCAGTCCTCTCAAGATGCCGGCCACAGAGACTGGCGAAATGTTAGGAAGAACAACCTTCAGCACACGGCCAAAGAGCCCGAAAAACCCACAACAACCAATTGTTTCTCTATTTTTTTAAAAAAATTCAACAACAAAAAAGAAAATTGCAAAAATGTTGTGAAGAATTTTCCCTTTCATAATATGTGAAATGCCATCTAAGATAGAGCTTCACTCACTCAAAATGTTTATTCTGAAGATGTTCATGTAAGACAATTAACAACTTTAGAGAATGTAACCGGCAGACTCAAAATGCACTTCTGCACTTGAGAGTGCTCTCAATCTCTATAGTGTTCTCCATGTTGTAAATTCCTGCTTCCTTCTCCTGCTTGGAGTGAGTAATCTACAACTGCTGCCCTATTGAGTTTGGTCCATTCTTGAAACTGATGTTTGCGCCTCTCTTATCAGACTATGTGACACATCCTTCTACCTTACAAAAAGGCACTTACATCTGATAATCTCACTTAGAGTAGACCCACTGACTCAATAAAACTTACATATGCACTGTCTTACCATGTTTTCACTGGTTCCACTCTACTCTAGTTGGAATTAACTAGACTTAGGCCACGGCAATAAATAGTGTAATCACCTGTCCTGCTAGAACAGGGGTGGGTAAAGTATACTTTGTGAGTTACATGCCTCCTTCTGAAGAGCTCAATTACAATCCTCCCACTAATTAAATTTTTAAAAATCAATTGAAAATGTCCCCTTCCTTCCTTCCTCCCTCCCTCCCTCCCTCCCTACCTCCCTACCTACCTCTTATATTCCAAGAAATAAACTGGGGTGAGATGAGGTGAACTGTAGCCGTGACTGACAGAAAACCATAAATTGCAATCAATTAAACATTCACAGCAAACATTCACTGAATTGCTCTGTACATTTAAATTATATATCCAACAGGATAATTTCACATTCTGTGTTATAACACAATGGCTGAAATCCTGTTGCTTACTACAGGAAGTCACAACTAGAGAAGATCCATTGATTCCGTGGAACTTATGGAAGAGTTGACTCACCAGATCCCCACTGCTTCAATGGCTCTGTTGTAGTTGCAACTTACCACACTAAGCAAGAGGATTACAAGCAATGTGTGTTATGGAATAGAATGCATTGTTCAGTGTAATTCTATCAACATTGGAAACAATTACAATTAAGTTTTCAACCAGACAGCCATGGAAGTCTGTAAACTGGACTCTTGATCACAATGCACAGGCTGCAGAAGTTTACACCAGAAAAAAAAATCTGAGCACAAGATTCCCATTTTCTCTTTTTTTCTTTACCCAATTAATCTAAGTAGCCCTCCAAAATCTGCGCCAGATGCATGGAGAAAAAAAGAGAAAGTCATCTCGAAACAAAACAAGGCGAATCTCTCCAGAGAGAAATCATACATTCCAAACAAAAACTCATGCACATAAACAAGAAGAGTGTGGCCATGGGTTTGGGTCTTACACGGGTCACAGCTGGAGCAGAGGCAGAATGTTTTTCTGTATCCCTTCCTCCCTCTGGGAGGCAAGAAAGGCCTTAGGTCACCACAGCCAAGGCAGCTGTGCAAAAAAGTTTGCCAACTCAGAGCAGCTGAAAAGTCCTGGGTTTGTGCAACACAGGAGAGGAGGGGCACCATCTCCCTTTGAAGTCCACATCTGGTTTTCAAGCAGCCTGTGAGCTGTCCAAGGTGGCCTGGGAACTACAAGCACATGCCAGCACTTCCGCTTCTCTTTTCCACAATGAAAGGACTTCACTAATGTCTGTAAGATGTGATGGGAGCAACATACCTACTACCTCCTTCTCAGAAGACATAGAGAGACTAAGACAGAGAAATAGGGAGGAAAGATCAGGTTCTGTGTTGATTCTGTAGCAAAATGTTACTCTGTGAAACTCAACTATCATGTTTGGATGGATGAAAGTTAGCTAGAACATAAACACTTGAACAATCTTGGCACTGCAATTTATGCATGATTAGATCAATTTAAGCCATATCATATTAACTGTAGTGTCCTTCCAAGTCAGGGTGCAATCAGATGACTGGACAGGCACACATCTGATTGCGCTGAAAGCAGTTGCTTTAATTGGAGGGATCTCCCCTAATCTGACTCTTCCATTTGCAGGAGAATCATACCAGCCCTTCCCCAAAAAGTAGCAGCCCCATAGTAGGATGGGCATGGATCAGGCTAGAGCACAATTCCCCACACAGCATGTGATTGTTAGGAAATCAATTGCACCGGACTGTTCCACAAACGGTCCAAAATGTGACCTATTCCCACATGTCATCACTGCCAGTCCCACCTATCCATGGGCAAACCACTAACCTTCTCCCTTAACGGAGGTCACCTGGGATTGGGTCACCAAAAAAGCACATTTGAAACTGGTGAAAGTCCTTTAAAAAAACAAGCAGGGGTGGATAATCTCAGTGGAATGGAGAACCATTTTTGAAATTTGACAGCAGCCCAAGGATTTCCCTCCACAGGGTGTACCTAAAGAGGGTATGCTAAAAAATAATAATCTAATTTTTGTATTTTTATTTTCTAGGTTTTTTTTTAAATCATTGTAGTGGTTATTTACTGTAAAGATCATTACATGGGTTCCATCTGATAATGAATGGGTTAACTAAGACAGAAAATGCTCCATGCACCTTCTAATGATCAGGGTTTGGTTTTTTAAAAACTTTGGGGTGTAAGAGGAGTGATGAAACACTCTCAAAACATGGCAAAAATGCCTGGGCTCCCCATCACCTATGCTATTTAACACATCTATGAAACCTCTGGGAGAGGTTATCCATAGTTTTGGTGTCTGATGCCACCAATATGCTGATGACACCCAACTTTAGCTCCCTTTTCCATAATATGAGCAGGTAGCAAAAGTTAGCTTTCCTGGTAAAATATTTCATTTGTTTGTTTGTTTAAAAAAAAGAGTATGAAACAGAATATAGCAGAATACAAAACACTCTTAATGGAAAATTCAATTTTCCTACTGGTCTTTTATGGAATGTTTAAGGAAAAGTATTAATCTGTGTTTCCCAAAGTGCAGTGACAGCACAACGGCTCAGTGGTAGAAACCATAAACAGTAAGTCCCCAGACCTCCAACTGAAAAGGATCTCCAACAGAATGGCTAGGAAAGGACTCAGACAGATCCAGGAAAGCTGCTGTTGGATGGACTCGTCAAAATTGGGCTCACTCAACGGTCTGGTCCTTAAAAGGCCACTTTATATATCAAACAGATGTCAAGAGAAAATTCCAATACTGCAGATTGGTTGATCACCAACTTTGCTTGAGCTGCCGGCTTTCTAGGTAATATTGTGTTACAAATGGCATAAAGGTCAGTGCTATTAATAATTTTTCTGTTCTGTTCCAGAAGCGATTGGTTACAAAAGCAATCCACACTTGGAAGTCGTTAGGAAAGGAGGGAGAGAACCAAGAGAAATGTCAGCAGTTACTAAAGAGGACCACCTCTATCTACTGAGGAGGGAGGACAGATAGAAGACATAAGAACAGCAAGAGGATGTCACTTACATCCTGCCACAGGATGCTTCTACAGAGCTTCTAGAATATAAGTTTTCATTTACTTCATTCCCATAGCTGAGAATTTAGAAAATGTAAAAACCTCTTTTCCTGCCAGCCAACATTCTGAGAGTGTTTGTATCTCTCTCTCTCTCTCTCTCTCTCTCTCTCTCTCTCTCTCTCTCTGTGTGTGTGTGTGTGTGTGTGTGTGTGTGTGTGTGTGTGTGTGTGTATGAGAGAGAGAGAGAGAGAGAGAGAGAGAGAGAGAACTTACACAAGTGCAAAAAACCTCCTTCAACTTGTGGGGAAGGGATTTTGTGAAAAAATTAAGGTACACTTTTTGCTGATAGTGACAATGATAATATGAAAAAAAAAAACTGGCCTTTTCACTCTCATTCCGAAGGAAAATGTCTCACAAAGGTGGAAAATTATTTCATTTGGCCATCTCAATGTGTCAAGACACCCTTTTAGATTGAGAATGAGGAAAACTATGAGTGTTTGTTACACCAGTAGTCTGATACAGGATTCTAAAAAAGAGGGAGATATTTTGAATGAAATTCTGTGAAGTGTAGCACTCTGCCAAGCCAGTAATGCAGAATCTTCCACTTCTGCAAAGACTGTCCTTTCACAATGAGACACGGAATACCAAATTTATACTTGCCCAAGGAGGGAACCTCTAGCTCAAGTGCCACAAAAATGAAATAATCAAGCTGCAGTCATTACCTAAGCTCTTAGACCAACAAGAGTCCTGGTAACTGAGTCAAAAATCCATGACCAGACATACCCATACTGTGCAATTTAAGATCCTTTTTCTTCTACTCGGAAGTAAACATACATGGCCCCAATCCAGGCCAGAACGAACAATGTAGGGGTGGAAACATTTAACCCATCCACTCATTTGCTTTTTTGACTGAACAAACCACTCATTTGCTTTTTTGACTGAACAAAATTCAACCATCCTCATACAGATCAATTTCTATTACACCAGGTAAGAGAATTTGGCCCATTTATTTCTTCTATGCTCACATATGTCACAGCTGGAGATGGGCATGAACCAGTTTGTAAAGGTGGCAGCACAGGTGCTGCTGCTCCCCTCCCCCACCTCCACCAGCTCAACCATTGACCAGGCCGGGCATGCTAGCTTTCTGCACCTCCTCCACTGATCTTCCAGCCTCCGGCAACAGTTCAGGCTTCTCTGCCGTGCCCTCCCGGTTGATCTCCCACTCAGATAAAAGGACGGGGAAGAGAAGTCTGTGCTCTTGCTCAAGACTGGCAGATAAGCTAAGGAGACGGAAAAAGCAAGCAAGTTGCTCAAGACTGGCAGATAAGCTAAGGAGATGGAAAAATCAAGCAAGCTGGGCCTGGTGAGTGGCTGATCAGCTGAAGAGATGGGGGAGGGGAGCAGCAGCAGCGGCCGCTTTTATGAACTGGGACGAACCGGTTTGTGCCCATCTCCAGTCACAGCTTTCCAGACATCTCTGTTTCATCTTATACTCACCAACTGCAATTTCTGCACTATTTATCAGGGAAGGAGGAGAGCTCCCAGCCTTATTTGTTGCCACCACGCTAAGCATGCAATCTCTGCCCCCAAGGTCTATTGATGTGTGCATGTTGGGTTCAGGAACCACCTGCTTTTCCATATCCATCTTTGACAGGGACCAGGACACTTCATAAGCTTCTATCTTTCCATTTCTTTCCATAATGGGTAGTGACTGCAAATAAATAAATAGATAAATAGGTAGATAGGTAGATAGATAGATAGATAGATAGATAGATAGATAGATAGATAGATAGATAGATAGATAGATAGATAGATAGATAGATAGATAGATAGATAGATAGATAGATAGATAGATAGATAGATAGATAGATAGATAGATAGATAGATAGATAGATAGATAGATAGATAGATAGATAGATAGATAGATAGATAGATAGATAGATAGATAGATAGATAGATAGATAGATAGATAGATAGATAGATAGATAGATAGATAGATAGATAGATAGATAGATAGATAGATAAAGCAATTGTGCAGCAAGATCATTAGTCCAGGGAAGAGATATTTCACAGATTCTTACAATAACTAGGTCCAGCCATTCATAGACTGCTAAGAAACTGAAATTCGATAACAACCCATACAGTAGAAAGGATACCTGTGATGAACACCTCTGTGAGCACTGCTGTATGTAGAAAGACATATAAAGTTTATCTACACAACATTATTAATAGGAGTTTGATACCACTTTATTGTCATGGCTTTACACTGTGGAATCCAAAGATTTGTAGCCTGGGAAGGTAATTAGAATTCTCTGCTACAGAATTCTAATGAATACCTAAACTATAGTATTAGAGCTTGTCAGCAGAGCATTCTGAGGCTCAAGAAAGCAACCAGATCAGCTGTTTGTTTAAAGTAGGGGGAAGGCTCCAAGTGGGTATGGAGTGCCATTAGCACGGCTACCCAAGAAGACACCTGAACACAACACAATAGAGGTTGTGTCCTCTATTTCTTGCAAAGTTTAAGGTCCCAATCAAGAAGGCTTTGCACATTTGCATAGAAGTGAAGTGTATTAACTTTTATCACAGTAATAACAGGAATGCACTTAGAGATAGCATTGCAAGGGAAACCCACATTTGCCACTTGTGTGAGCTCAATCTGGGAATCAAGACGGCATCTTTTAAGCCCAAACTACAGCCTTCCTCAGCTAGTGCACTCCAGATGTTTTGGAGCACAGTTCTCATCAGTTCCAGCTTTAGAAAAGACCAACACCGCCCTTCTACGACAGAGTCTCACATTTTGGTCACAGTAAACTGCAACAGTATTGGGAGAGTGAGGAAAAACACTAGCAGCTGACTTTTATACATTATATAATGGATTTAGCCACAGTACAGTATTATTTATGACTGATGAAAAGTTTTCATAATATTTCCCCTTTAAACCTAACAGTGAAGGCTGCTGAGTTTTCAGAGAGCAATCTTTCTTTTTATTACAACTAGTATTCTTTGATGGTGCTGTTTGGCCTCTTAATCTTGCCATTCTGTGAACATATGATACCTAATGATATACTACAGGACAACAAACTGTGAAATCTGCTTTGATCTGGACTCTTGCATTGAGCAAGGGGTTCGACTCAAAGGCCCTATAGGCCCCTTCCAACTCAATTATTCTATTATTCTATGGAGGTCTCTATCTACACCATTGACCAAAGCAGAAAATTTAGAGTCACGAAAATTGTGGGAGTTTTTACCCCTCCTTGAGTAGGAATCATTTTTCATGAAACATTTCAAGTGCTGGAATGTGCTTCCTAGGGAATAACTTTAAGAAGAAAACCAAAACTCAGGGATGAAAGGCAGATTTGTGAAGACATATTCATATGCAAGACCCGTCTCCAAGACAAAACTTTAAATGGCAAGTCCCTCTCCTTTGTGATTGTGAGATGTTTGGGAGCAGCTGATGAGCATCAGATGTTGTGCTGCTTTGTTTATTCATCTGGTAGCTTTTTAAAAAAACATGCCTTAAGTTCTTGAGTGAAGCCAGACTTTCTTTGCCCATCATTAATGAGTATACATACTTAACATTTTCAAAAGCAGGGAATTTCCAAAAAAAAAAAAGGGTCACACCATAAAATTGTTACTTTTAGCTCTAGAATCTTCCGAGATTGTCAGTGCAGGCGCAGACAATACCCATATGTGTGCATTCACAGAGGCCACAATGAAGAACAGAAAGCTAGGGTTGATGCTATTAACACAAAAGTAAAGAAAGACACCTAATAAACAGCTCTTTAAGCATGAACACATTGATGTACTTTAAATAAACAGTACACCATAACTCCATATATAGGTAAAGATTCCCCTTGACATTTTTAAGTCCAGTTGTGTCCGACTCTAGGGCACGGTGCTCATCCCCGTTTCCAAGCCATAGAGCCAGCGTTTGTCCGTAGACAGTTTCTGTGCGACTAGACATGGAACGTTACCTTCCCACTGTGGTGGTACCTATTTATCTACTTGCATTTCCATGCTTTCGAACTGCTAGATCAGCAGGAGCTGGGACAAGCGAGGGGAGCTCACTCCATTGCGTGGATTCAATCTTACGACTGCTGGTCTTCCAACCTTGCAGCACAGAGGGTTCTGAGGTTTAACCCGCAGCGCCACCACGTCCTACATATATAGTATATCATTCTATATCATCTGATATCGCATATGATAGAGTACAGTCTCATACAAAGTCGTAGAATCATGAAATTGGAAGGAGGCCTATAAGGTCGTCAAGTCTAACCCCTTGCTCAATGCAGGAATACAAATCAAAGGATATCTGCCAGGTGGTTATCTAAGTTTTCTTCAATGCCTCTAATGTTGGAGCACTCACCATCTCTCCACATAACTGATTCAGTTCTCATAGTTCTCTAACAATTAGGACGTTTATCAGGAACCCTGATATTCAACCAAAATCTGGTTTCCTGTAACTTGAGACCACTGTTGAGTGTCCTGAACTCTAGGATGACTGAGAACAGGTCCTACCTCTCCTCTATGTGACTACCTTTCAAGTATTTGAAAAGTGCTATCCTATCTCCCTCAGTCTTCTTTTTACAAGGCTAAACATGCCCAGTTCTTTCAGCTTTTCCTTATAGGGCTTACTTCCTTATACAGTGGTGCCCCGCATAGCGAGGTTTCCCCTTCGCTATGGGGAAACATCGCTAAACGGAATGGGAAAGCCCAAATGGGCCCAAAACGGGCCCAAATGGGCCCAAAACTCACCTGTGATGTTTTCCCATCTGGCCGCCATTTTCGTGCAGGGCGCAAAAACACTGCGCGTGGCCATTATGGGTGTTCCGGTGGCCATTTTGGGTGTTCCGGCAGCCATTTTGGGTGTTCCGGAGGCCATTTTGGGTGCTCCGGCGGCCATTTTGGGTGTTCCGCTCCCGGCAGCCATTTTGGGTGTTCCGGAGGCCATTTTGGCGAACAGCTGTTCCCCCATCGCAATGCGAAGATCGGTAAGCGAAATGCTTTCCGATCGTCACAAAGCGATTTTCGCCCTATTAAAACATCAGTATGCGATCGCATTAGCGATCGCAAAATCCGCATCACTATGCGGATTCATCGTTAAACCGTGCGCTCGTTATGCGAGGCACCACTGTAGTTTCCAGCCCCCTGATCATTCTTGTTGCCCGCCTCTGAACTTGTTCCAATTTGTCAGCATCCTATTGTGTACAGAAAGGCTGGGATGTGATGCCATCTTTGATAGTGCAACACCTACAAAAAGAATTTCAGCACCCTCTTCATGTGTCCAGTCCAACTGATCCTTATTTGGATGAAGGAAATCTTGTGTTTATAAGCTTGGTACTAAGTAAATGGTGTTTTAGCTCTTCAAAGAATTAGAGTGCAGCTCATCTCTTGTGTTATTAGGATTCATGAGTCAAAAAACACCAGCCCTGATACACATTAAAATTCCCAGTTCAGGCACAACACTTGAACAGAGCTGTAGTTCCACCAAAATCCAACTGCAAAGAATGCCCTGAGTAAACCTAAAGGCAACACATTCTTTACAATCCTGGGATTGTCACTGCAAACCAATACATGAACACACAGAAAAGGGACAAACAACACAGCTGTTCCTGCGCACACACACAAAGCATATTGACACAAGAGTCCGTTCAAGGCAACTTTTTCCATTACCATTTGGAGAGCATGTTTACAAAAACTGGTGGCTGAGAAGATAAAATTCTCCCTCCACTGGCTATCCTGTTTAAAAAATGCTTGTGTGAATTGCCTTGGAGAAAGTTTAACTGGAACACAACTTGTACTGCCTCTAGGGACCAGTACATTGACTAAGAAATTTAAAAACGAATAACTGAATGAGTACCTTCCAAAGGATGATTATAGTGTTTCCATGATTAATCCTCTCTCGCCAGATATCCAGCTGACCTGCAGGAGCTAAAAGAGAATGTTCATTAGTATTGTATCGTACTGTATTATACAGTGGTGCCTCGCATAGCGAGGTTAATCCATTCCGGATTAACCGTCGCTATGGCGAAACATCGCTGTACGAAACGGGGAAAGCCACTGGAACGCATTAAACTTAGTTTAATGCGTTCCAATAGGTTCCAAAACTCACCGTTCAGCAAAGTTGTTCCATAGCCAGCAGCCATTTTCGCACCCTCGGTAAGCGAGGGGAGGGCGCGAAAACGCTGCGCGCGGCCATTTCGGGGCTTCTGGCGGCCATTTTGGAGCCGCCAAACAGCTGATCCGCAGCAACGCTTACCGATCTTCGCAAAGCGATTTTTGCCCATAGGGGCCATCGGTATGCGATCACATTTGCGATAGCAAAAACCTAATCGCTATGCGATTTCGTTATACGGTGCGCTCGTTAAGCGAGGCACCACTGTATTGCATTGTACTGCATTGTACTGTGTTGTATTGTTTCTAGACTTCAGCTCCCAGAAGCTCCCAGCCATCATTCCTTAGAACAGCTGATCCGCAGCAACGCTTACCGATCTTCGCAAAGCGATTTTTGCCCATAGGGGCCATCGGTATGCGATCACATTTGCGATAGCAAAAACCTAATCGCTATGCGATTTCGTTATACGGTGCGCTCGTTAAGCGAGGCACCACTGTATTGCATTGTACTGCATTGTACTGTGTTGTATTGTTTCTAGACTTCAGCTCCCAGAAGCTCCCATTCCTTAGGTGGTATCTGCTGCTCAGGGGCCACTCTGGCTTGTGGATTCTAGGACTTGTCTACCAGAAAGGTAACACTTTCAACCTCCTTCTGCCATTCCATGCACTTACGGGCTTCCTGAGTTCTGTGCTGCTTTCCCTGGTTCCAGCTGCTCCATTTCCAGAAGAAGGGTTCAGCAGCTGAACAGCGAACTTGGAATGTATATGATGTATAAGGATGCAGATTGTTCACCAAGACTGTGTAATAAGAGTTTTCTGCACCATCCAGAGGGAAAGTTGTATTGAGATGCAACTTGTTTGTCTCAGGGCTGGTTTCTGTGCCATCAAGATGCAAATTCTGTGGTTTCAAAAAGAACGAAGAAACAAACACACATCTCCTAAAGACAAAGATGCTGGACCACGAAAATCATCATTGTCATTCTATAAAGCCATGCAAAACTCTGAGAAGTTAGTGTTTTTGGACCATAACTCCCAGAATCCTGCAGTCAGCAAGGCCATGCTAGGAGACACAGTCCAAAAACATTACCCTTCTAAGCTTCAGTGCCACCTGCAAACATGGCCATAACAACTTATGAATGTAAAAACAAACCTGCTGAATCAGATCCAAGGCTTCCCTAATCTAACATTCTGGTCACATAGCAGCCAAACTTTCGATTATAAGAAGCTAAAGATGAGGACAACTGCATCCTCCATTTCCCCTTCTCTCTTCCCCAGCAACTGATGCACAGAGACATACAGCCTCTGATACAGGAGAGGATACAGAATTATCCGGACCAGAAGCTACTGATAGCCCTAACCTTCTTTAGCATGTGCAAAAATGAAAACAATTCCAAAGCCTAACTCAAACCAGGCTCTGTTCTCACAAAACTCACAAGCCCTTTTCATATGTGATAGAGCCTGTGTGAGAACTATCCTTCCTCTGTGGTGCATCCTTATACAGCCGTAGGCTGCATGTTGAATCACACAGTCCTATGGGCAACGTTGGTCACAATATGAGGACTCTGCCAGCTGAAGTAACCTCTGTGGCACTGTGGCCTTCTCTAAATTCAAGGAAAAGGGAGAGAAGAGAAGGAGAGGCTTTCATGGACACCAGAGTGGGCCACCAATTTCTTTTCTGGGATTGGACAGAGTGGGAAAGGGGAGGAAGGGAGAGGAGTGGAAAGGAGAAAGGAAAGGAAAGGCAAGTGTGACCTACAAGAAAGGGGAAAGTTCACTTAGCAACTTCTGGAAAACAAAGTGGGTAGGAAAAGGCTGTGGCTAAAAAAAGGAACATTTCTAAGCTCTTCTGTACAGAAATAACAGTTATATCAGTGTGTATGTGTGTGCACGCATACACATGTGCACACTTTCACACAGAGCAACTAAAGTGCAATGTAAACCAAGAGTCACTTACCAGTTCTTCTGCAGAGGGACTACGGACAACATGAATCTGACATTTAAGTTTGATTTCTGTGAAGTTGCCAGGCAGATACCAAGACAGGCTGATGTTGGTTGGGCTATTGTCACTCACAGTTAATTTCTCAGGTGGCTGTGGATGAACTGGAGAGAGGTGAAAATCCAACTGAAGAATTAATCACGATTATTACTTTTGTTCATTCAGTTCTTGTTATCATAAGTCACACCAGCCAACAATATGTGTATACTATTAAAGCAAAGCAAAAGCAAAATGTATTACTTATATTCCACTCCATAGTGCTTAAAGCACTCTTTCGGCACTCTACAATTTAATGATGCAGGCTACGCATTCCATAACTTAAGAAAAGGAATCTCAAACACAAGAACAACATACCGTATTTTTCCGTGTATAAGACGCCCCCATGTATAAGACAACCCCCGAATTTTCTAACCCAAAATTCAGAAATCAATATTTTAAACATTAGAAAGAAACACATTTTTAGTAATTAGGCAACATTTACATACCAGTACTATGATATTATGCATCGCATTTAGCTGAGCAAATCACTTCATTCAGCCTCTTTTGCATAACTCAGTGAAGGAGAACCTTTTTGAGCCCAAGTGCCCAAACTACAACACAAAACCAACTTATTTATTTCAAAGTGCCAACACTGCAATAAAACCTGAATACTGAGGTACTATCACTATCTCTGAGGGGAAACTGATGAAACTGATGTTGTCTTACTTGGGCACATCTTGAAAAGACAGGATTCTCTGGAAAAGACATTAATGCTGGGAAAGGTGGAAGGCAGCAAGAAAAGAGGAAGGTGAAATATGAGCTGGACAGACTCCCTAAAGAAACCACAGGCTTGGGTTTGCAAGAGCTGACCAGGGCAATTGAGGACAGGTCATTTTGGAGATTGTTGATTGTCATAGGGCCACCATAAGTCAGAGGCAACCTGGGGTCAAGAGGGTGGGTTTCAGAACTCACACTCCACCACCCCCACCTCTTCTTCCTTTCCTTCTTTGTAGTAGGCACCCCCCCTTCTGGTCAGATGGAGGGATCGATCCCAGAGGAGGAAGAAGCACCAGCAACCCCTCCCCCCTTCTTTCTGTCTCTTTCTCCTCCCCGGGGAAAAGGATGGTTACGAGTGCTTAGTCTCCAGAGAGGTTAGAACTCTCCGTGGAACTGGAGACACGATGCCTCAAGCACTTCTGGAGCGGCTGCATCTCGTGTCCGCCATGGAGGAATACAGGAAGAGGGGCACAGGGCAAAGAAACTTCTCCCCAAATCAGACCAAGGCTAGAAGTTTCTAGAAATCCCTGTCGCTGCTTTCCCCCCTCCCAGCTCTCACAGGCTCCCTTCCCTTAGCCACTCACACACGAACAAAACAGTGGCGGCTGCTTCTTGACCCTCCTGATTCCTCAGAGGGAAACAAGCCGCCGAGGCCAGAAAAAAGAGCCGAGAGAAAAAGGGGGCGTGGCTGAAAGGGAAAGACGGGGACTCAGGTAACTCACACAAACAATGGGATGTGGAGGGCTCAGTAGTGGGGGAGAAACTGAGGCAGAATCGATGTTGTCACTTTTGCAGAGTAAGACATTTGATTATTTTCTTTTTAATTTTCTGACATCTTTATGGGTTCAGTGATCTTTACTGTCGCACGGCCTACATGCTCTCCTCCGCATCAGCTCATGCCATTTACATAAGGCTCGTAATTGGAGGAAGCCCATTTGCAGAGACAGGCTATCGGCAGTTTCACTGGTGACTGGAGGCAGATGGTTTGCAGAGACATAGGCAGATTTGCAACCATGCAGTGTTCTCCTTGCCTTACTTCTGTGTAAAAGATGACCCTCAATTTTTTACTATAATGATTTTAGGAAAAAGTATCACCTTTTACATTAAAAAAATATGGTATATCAAAGTGGGCAGGGATAGTTGCCTGTATACAATGTGTATAACAGAAAAAGGGTATTCAAACATGAATATGTTATGTAAATACGCACACTGAACTGCATATGAATTATAGGACTTTTTGTGCAGGAGTCCTGCCATGTTTGCAACCTGATGCAAACATAGGCTAAACTGAACTTGCAACTGAAGGAAGGAGAATGTCATAGACTGTTGCTGTATTGATTCCAAAAGGCAGGCAGGCAGCATTGTAAGTATGATGTCCCTATCTGATTGATCAGTAAGTTAGCACAAGCTGCACTAATCATAATTTCAAAAGTATCAAAAGAACCATTGAACAGGGCATAAATAAATGAATAGTATATCTCCTGGCAAAACATCAGGTCTTACAGGAACAGCCACTGATTGATCCTCCTCTTCCTATTAGAGGCTAGAAGTCATCATAGCTATCCTGACAAAGACACTGCGTTGCAATCCAAGCAGTGTTCAAGGTTCCTCGGCCCATAAGCACTTCTCATTCATGAAATTCTTTTCACATTTATTTTATGGCAAATAATTTCCTGTAACAATTAGAGATGGGCACGAACCTCAGTTCGGACGTTCGTGCCAGTTCATGTGGGCGGCACCTTCCCCTGCCTCCCTCGTCTTAAGTGGGTGATTAGCCAAGGAGGCAGGGCAGGGAAGCCTGTGCTCCTGCCAGGACTGATTGAACAGTCAAAGAGGAGGATGAAAAGAGCACGTGTCGTCTGGTGAGTGGGGGGTCTAGCCAGAGAGGCAGGAGAAGGGAATAAGTATTCACCTCTGGTGAACATATGAACCAGCACGAACCTCCGAACTAAGGTCTGTGCCCATCTCTGATAACAATCCATACTTTCATTTCTTATTATGTGACCAATGCATTCTAGCTTTCTCCATTTTATTTTTTGGTCTTTATTTGTTTTAGAACTTCGTTGTTAGTCCCCCAAACAGGTCAATAAATTCTATGTATCCTGGGACAAACCTGCTTTTTGGGGGAACCAGGGGGTATATAGCAGCCTGTGCTGGTTCACAATTCCATGCCATATAATATCACTGAAAATACACAGCACTGTACAATGGACAATCTCAATGTCAATTCTAAGTTTTTCTTGCCTGTTGCAAGCTGCTCTAGGCCATTTCTATTTTAATTTTTTTAAAATTACTGAATAGTAACTTCTGAAAGAGCCTATCACTGTAAATAAAATTGAATTAAATGGATACGTTCTTACCTCTGTGTTTTATATCAATTGACAAAGAGGCTTCTGACTGACCAAGATCATTCGAAGCATGGACTGTGAAGTTATAAATCCTCTGATTGCTGAGAATTGGGAAATGACACTGGTAAAGTTTACCTTTGCCTGTGTATGTAACATTCTTCCCAGATATTCTGCAAGGTTAAGGGAAATGACATGGTCAACATCCAAAAATATTTGGTACATTAAAATAAATCTGTGATTTGTTGAAGTTGGAATTAAGTTATCTCAGAATAGGTTATAAGAAATACAAAAGACCCAAAGTGATTAAGTAGTCATGAGTATTCATTACTTTCAGTACAACAGTAACATTTACAATATTCGCAAACACTCTGTCCTTCATTCTTCAATCCAAGAAAGTCAATCCAAACAAATAAAAATTTGTAAACTAACGTTAAATATATGAACCCGAGTTCTTTGTACCAATCTAACAAGAAACAGTGATTAAGGGTGGCTTCCTAGTTTCTGCCCCCCCCCCCCGCGATCATTCATATCCAAATCAAGACAGCTGTTCAAAACCACTCTTGGCAAATCAAGGGAAAGACTTTTGTCACCCTATTTTTATAGCATTAAGGATCCCACTACATAGCCTCAAAGAAAACAATTGACACTTTTGTCAGTTTGTTAAGGTCTGTTTTGAATTTTCCTTCGGGCCTACAAAAAGTTGATCCTATTTTGGGAAGGAACATAAGAACATAACATAAGAAGAGCCCTGCTGGATCAGGTCAAGGGCCCATCTAGTCCAGCTTCCTGCATCTCACAGTGGCCCCACCAGACGCCTCTGGGAGCACACGAGACAACTAGAGACCTGTCTCCTGATGCCCCTCCCCTGCATCTGGCATTTTAAAGTACCTTCCTTTTAAGCCTGGAGATTATACATCATCGTGATGGCTTGTAACCTGCGATGGTCTGTTCCTCCAGGAATCTGTCCAATCCTATTTTAAAGTCTATAACTTTGCTCCCACCATTGTATTTTACTGCACTCAGCACTTAAGCCAAGATTTTAATCCAAACTGAAGAAAAATTAGTGGATCTTCCTGGTCACCTTTTATTTGCAGTGATCATTTTTCCCTGGGAAGCTGGGCTGAGGCTGAAGGCCAGGTATGTTTGCACGGATATTTTGCTGAGTTTTCTTCCTGGGTTTTCTTTTTGTCTCCCCCACCACATGGCCTGGAGGTGGGGCCTAGGTGGTGGGGCTTTCTGCTTTAAATGAGCGTGTCCCAGGACCGCGCGCCTAACGGCACGCGAAATTCTCAAGTTCTCTGATTCTGTCTCTGACCCTAATATAGTAAATAGGAAAGCAAATTAGATTTGCATACACCTGGGAGGCAAGAAAGTTTTAAGGGTCAGATCATGCTCCCGCACTATTAAAGAGCAGGCCGGGTAGGTGGGGCTCGTCAGCCATGGAAGGTAAGCCATCTAGGAGAAGGAAAACTCCAATTTCAAACCTCCACTGCCTTGTGGCTATATCCACTCATGGAAAAGGCTTCAGGGGTTAACCTAGAGGCAAAATCCGGAACTGGAGTCCCGAAGGCAGTTCGTTTCATTCTGCCAGCTCCTGCGACGTTGCTGGAACAAGTTGCATTGGCTCTTACTATTCCATTGGACCATTTCAGCAACGTGGAGAGGGGGGATCTGCTGCTTGGCTAACAGCCTATCCTTTTACTATTACTTAACCCAGGCTTCATGCTCTGGTGAGGACACTCCTCGATTCAGAGCATGTTACCATAGTCTCTCGAGACTGAAGGATGCCTATGAAAAAAAACTTTAAGCTTGTTTCTAAAACTATGCAAAGCAAAGCTCCCCTAACTGATTTAAACAGGCTAACTCCATGGACCAAGGAACCCAGGCTCTCCCTTTCATTTCCCTGACTCATGCTACAGTTGTCATCAATGGATAGCCCACACAGATACACTATTCAGCACAATGAACAACATAGAATGAACACAATACTTCTTCAAACCAGTCCCCACTGGGCTGAATTGAAAATCTATTTAAACAAATGGCAGTTCTTACATAAATAAAAAGAACTTTATGACATCTCTCTATCTACAAATTGTAACATGCCTGCACTCTTTTCTACCACTGTTGGGAGGCACTTAAAACATACTTTGGAAGAATAACATTTGTTATTCTCTTGTTGGGAGGCACTTATAACATTACTTTGTGGAAGAATAACATTACCTTTCCAATAAAGTGTATTTTGTTCTTCGTTGGCCATACAGTTCAGTGGACCTTCCTTGCTCCCATGTGCATGTTATTGTCCTAAAATCTCTTGTTTCACAGTTTACATTCTGTGGTACATCAGGGGGATCTGTAGCAATGAAAAAGCAATTGCATGTACCTGCACTCTTTGCTATTCAGCATTATGTAAGAGAAAAAGGCAAAGGGATATTGGTTGCCCCTCAGATGTCCCCATGTTTAAATAACCGATTCCAGACAAGACAAAGGTGCTCCTGGTCATTCAAAAGGCAAAGCAAGGAACACGGATTCAGCCTGTGTTGGCTGGGGTTACATGTCCTCTGAAAACATAGGTGGGCAGCTTAGGAGGGCTCCTGGAATCATCTCTGAGCCTGGATGCCCAACTTTTGCCTATTTCCAGGATTGCCTTTGCACAGTTAAAACTAGTGTGTTGGATGCTCTTGTTCCTTGAGAAGTCTGATCCGGCCATGCCTTAGGTATATCTCGGTATATCTAGCTGGGAAACTTTAACATGCAAAGGGTCTGTCTTTGGAAAGTGTTTGGAAACTCAGTGATTCCAAAATGTTGCACTTAGATTGTTAATTGGGGCTGATTACAGGGAACAGATAACTCCTCTGTTACAGCAGTTTCGCTGGCTGCCGATCTGTTTCTAGGCACAATTCAAAATTTCTGGTTTTAACCTTGGGTCTAAGCTATCTAAAAGAACATACTGTATCTCCCTTTATGAGCCTATCTGGGTATTAAGATCTTCAAGAGAGACCTCTCTCTTAGTCCCACCACCCTCACAGGCATGTTTGGTGGGGACGTAGGAGAGGGTTTTCTCTGTCGCTGCTCCTAGGCTATGGAACTCTCTCCCATGGGAAGCTAGGCTAGCTAGGCTGGCCGCATTTCTGCTGCCTTTCTGCAAGCAGGCAAATACCTTTCTCTTCAGGCAGACTTTTCTTTAAATGGATGGTTGACCATGGAGATTTTTTAAGGGAGCATTTTATTGTGTTTTTAATATTATTCTTATCATACGTTTTTCACATGACAGTTATTTAATGCTTTTTTAAAAAATTGTAATAATGTATTATTTCGCATTTAACTTTCCTTTTTAAATATACTCTAATATTTAAAATACTGTAAGCCAATTTGGGCCCTAGAGGAAAAAAACAGGATATAAAGATTTCACTGTTGATTTCTAAGACAGGTATGAAAACATGGCTATTCAGACAGACCTTCCAAAATATCCCATCTACAGAACCCAGCTTTAAGCCAATTACTTCATTTTATTAACTGTTCTTATGTTGTATGTCATACTTGCTTTGTTTAACTACATTTCAATTTCATTATTAATTCATGTTTGTTGCTTGTTTAGAGAGTTGTGATGCCTATATGGTTATTACTTAGGGATGTTATTACTGTATTGTTTGCTGTGAACCACCTAGAGTGGACTTGTAGCCAGATGGGCAGTATGTAAATTAAAGAAATTTGTCTGTTATGGTGCTCTGCCACAGAGAAGATCCGGGTTCATCTCAGAATACACTACAAATGGAGATTTGAAACCATGTTTGCTGTACTTACAGCCGACAAACAGAACAGTTCCATAAGTATCTGAGCTTCCCATGGGTTCTTCGTAACACCAAGCGTTAGATCCACTCGATGATGAAGCGGAGACATTTTGGACTTGAATCGTCATGCTTTTGGTGGAGAGAGAGGCAATCGAACAACGATGAGTAGAACACTGAGAAAAATTCAGAACGTCAATTTTCTCTCCTTTCTTCCATACGCAGCAGAAGGTTACAGTGGAACCCACGTGCACAATTCTGTCTATAGGATACATGCCGCCAAGGAAGCCACTATCTTTTCCTGCAACAGAAAGGCCAGAAGTGAAGACAGGGAAGATCTGCAGCAGTGGGTCACATCCCCATGTCAGGTGAGTAGCTGCACATTCAAATACTTCTTGAGATATAAACGCTTATTTTTATACAAGGTATAAAAATTCCCAAACATCTGCACCGTATTCAAACAGAGAGGCTATTAAACAAGAGATGGTAGCTTCACAGAGTTCAGAGACTACACTTGTTCCATTCTCTACCACCGCCACCCTTGGGACTACACCTCCCCTGGCTCTCCCCCCCCCCTTTTAATTGTTTTTTTAATAAAACCAGAAGGAAGCAGTTTTGTATGAATAAAACCAAGAAGTATTGGGGGGAGGCAAACTGCATTAAATGGGAGAATCAATCACTCTGGAGGTTTCTGGAGACAAACTTTTCCATGAGTGAGTCAGCTCTAGAAGGGAGGGGGCAAGGATTCTTGGTAGAGCACAGGTGGGCTCTACAATTCCCATTCATTTTTTTGTGGCTTCAGAGCAAGGCAGCAATGCATTTTGGAAGGAAACCATCTTTAACACTGGCACAACTTCTGAACCAGATGGTCTTGCTTCTCCTTAAAACATCCATACTTCCCACAACAACAGAAAAGACTCAAATCTTAGAGGCATTTGTAACACTGCAAAAAAACAACAACCCCATAGTGACAGTTGATAAACTCTCTGAGTAGTTAAAGAGTGCAAATCAGGAAGCTATTCATTCTGCAGTATACTTCTGCACATCTGATAAGTTATAGCATACCAATCCTATGCAAGTGTTTGTTGTTCAGTAGACTGTACTCAACAGGAGTGCAAATCAGGAAGCTATTCATTCTGCGGTATACTTCTGCACATCTGATAAGTTACAGCATACCAGTCCGTTTGTTGTTCAGTAGACTGTACTCAACAACATCACCTTACCAGGAATATTCACAAATTCGCTCCACTGACTCCACGTCTTCTTCCCAACAAACGCATCGTCGTGAAGGAAACAGCGGATTCTAACATAGTGTGTGGTGCAATCAAAAGGCAGGGCTGATGTCCATTTCCAGTAGAGGAGAGTGTTACTGCCATTTAATCTTGAATTATATGTCACCTAGTAATGTAGATCAAAATGTAAAAAAATATTTGAGTTGTTGATAAACCATGATATGGGTGACATAGTTATTTGAGACTCAGGTAAAGTGAAATCAAATATTGCCCAAGATGTAGGTAAAGAGAAGATGCATTAAACTGTCATCTGTGAATGCTCCTTCCTGCTCAGAACACTTGTTGAACCACAGATGAGTGATATGAAAAGCATCCGAATGGGACACACAGTGTAAAAACGGGAATGGGGGCAACAGAGTTGGGTTTCTAAACTGTAGAATAGGTAGCCAAGAATGTTATGCTTCCAAGCACCCAGTAGGGGTGGGATTTTCATCATTTTAGGACTTCTAGTCCCTGAATTCACCCAAAATCCCCAGGCAGACTTCTAAGAGTAAGGGAGGAGAAACCAGAAGACAAAAAATGTATTTCGACTTCCATATTGTGCTCTTTACATATGTATCAGCTGGGAAGCAGAAAGAAACACTCCTACAGTTGCAGTGCTTCCTAAGAATCACCTTACTGTTGAATGAGAAAGTAAATTCAGTGAGAAGCTCCTCCAAGAGTCTAATGGGGAGCAAGACTACCTTACCACAAACCACTGGCATAATTCCAAGGAAGCAGTGCAAATGAGTGGGTGTTCTTTTCTGCTTCCCAGAAGATACACATGGAGAAAAGCACAATACGGAGGTAGGAAGAAAAACCTCTTTTGTCTTCTGATTGCTCCTCTCCCATTCCTAGAAGCCTGTCTGGGAAACATTTTTCTTATTTTGCATTAAACTTTGCATTAAATTACATCAACTATTTGGTTGCCACCTTCTTTTCTGGCTCTCACTTCCGGCTCACCATTTTCCATTTCTAATATTTAATCATGTCTTTCTTTATTGATGCACTAAAACGACCTAGTCTTAGTCAGAGACTATTTTTATTCCAAAAGGCCAAAAATATCAAGCATCCTCACCACTTTTGTTCACTGGCCTTCTTTCAAGAATCAAAGCTGAGTACATTGCTTAGAGAGTAAATCTTCCATCATTTCATAGATGGCCATTGTTGTGCAGTGGTTAGAGTGTTGGACTTTAATGGGGGAGATCTGGGTTCAAAGTCCCTACAAATCTCACCAAAGCCCCACAATTCAGGCATTCAATAAAGCAGCTCACACTAATCAGTGAGCAGAGGAAGGAAGTGAGTCCTGTCCCTTGCATCCTGTTTGCCATGCGTAGAGAGCTACATCCGAAAAAGAAGGGCGATGTCTACTCCTGGAGCAACTTCATGCAATTAGTAACCCTGGATGATCAGGGTTCCCCACTGCATGAAGAGCTCCCAACGAGGGGAAAAAACAGTCTCCTATTCAGATTCAGCTCTCCACACGTAAGAGTTAGGTCTGAAGGAAGTTGTTACATATTAGGATAAACCCTTTTCTCGAATCGTGGCATAGAGAATTTGAACACCGGTCTCTCTATCTTTATTTGACACTATAGCCCTTACACTACTCTCTTTCTCTCCCTGAGCTTGGAAACACTAGGACTATGTCAAAATTAATATTAAGTTTTTAAAAATATTATTTTGTTGTATTAATTTTCAGAAGTATTACTATGTCAGTTTGTCACAACAAAAGCAAAGAGTCTTGAGGAATCTTAAAGACAAAACAAGTTTTATTCAGAATAGGCTTTCATGAGCAGCCGCCCGAATGTTTAGATGCAGCTTACTTTTAAATGTTATGAAATTCAGTTGAAGTTACCAAAAGGGGACAAAAATCCATCAACATTCTTGCCACTATGAACAACTACAAACAACATTATTGTCAATTAATAACAACTTTGGCACTCTGTTTAAAAAGAATAAATGATGAGTAATATTTATTTATTCATTCAAGGTATATACCACTCATTTAGTGGAAATACTACCATGGGTGGTTTATAGAAGGTTAAAAATCACAAATCCACAATACACCACAATAACAAAACTAGGATCCAAAACACCCACACGTGTTTTCTTAAAAAACTAAGTACATCCAAACTTGATTCTCATTCTCTCTCTCCATATATATGGAGATCTACTTACCCGATCTACTTCTTCCATGGGGTCTTTATACAAGATCTGAATTTCCCAAGTGGCATCCATTTCATATGGAAAAGCTGAACCGCCATCATACCACTCCAATTCAAATGTGTCAGATATATAGTCAGGAGTCAGCCTTTCAATATGTGGAGAGGGAGGAACAAGTGCTGGAAGCAAGGGAATGAAAATTTATTTCAGATCTGCTTATCAATGGCTGTAAAATGCTATTTATGAGTGCATTTTCTTATCCTAAATAGATGCAAGCCTGTTCCACTTTGGTATGTTAAAAGTCTTTAAATTTATTCATAAGAATGGAATTCACTCCACTAAGTGTCCATTGGAAGCAAATGTAAAAAGAGTAGAGTACTGCTGGACCAAACGAAAGGTCTATCTTAGTACAACATTCTGTTCACGTGGCGGCCAACAGCAAGTCCATAAACTTTACAGTCCATGACTATGAAGTTTACAGTCCATGGACATAAACAGTCCATGACTATAAAGTTGTGTGAAAAGTAAAGCAGGTGTTCCATATGCATGCAACAAAATTGATACAGTACTTGAGATTTGTTCAATATATATGTATGAAAAATTTATCCGAGTATCATTACGTGGCCAAATAAGGGTCACAGTTTAGTAGGAGAGCATATGCTTTGCATAAAGAACATTCCCTGACACCTGTAGTCCAGAGAGGGCTACAGCTAGGAATGACCACTTAAGTAAATGCTAGAAGAATGGTTACCAAACATTTGGGCTTCACGTGTCCTTTTTAGTGTTTCAAAAACCGTGAAGATTCAATAACGGTAGGGACCACTCCCTCTCTCAGAGAGGCGTTCACGGCCTCCTGGACCCAAGTGCGAACCCCCCTGGCAGATCTTCCAATTAGCCAAGATGGGCAAGGGTCGAGCGGCGGTCGAGATTTGTCCGAAGACAATCTTTCCATGGTCACATGGCCAGTGCGACTTAGACACAGAATGCTGTTACCTTCCCACCGAGGTGGTCCCTATTAATCTACTCGCATTTGCATGCTTTCGAACCGCTAAGCTGGCTGGAGCTGGGACAAGCGACGGGCGCTCACTCCGTTACGTGGATTCGATCTTACGACTGCTTGGTCTTCTGACCCTCCAGCACAGGCTTCTGCGGTTTAGCCCGCAGCGCCACCACGTCCCTTTAATTAATATAGTTTATACTTAAAAACAATCTCAACACTTAGGCAAGTATCTTACTGCTAGTCCCAACTAAAGTATCTGGTACCTACTAGAGAAACAAATAGAGATAGTGAAAGATAACAGGAATTCTAATTCTAGCCAACTACGGTAGAATGCATTAAGTTAGAATAGTTCCAAATACAGTTTTTTAAATTTATATAGGGAAAGGGGCTCTGTGGGGCTCCGAACATCCATGATGCCTGCTCTAGTAAAATGCCTGTTTCATGTTTTTAAATAAGAAGCTAAGCATTTACATACCACTGATTCCAATGGAAGAGAATGTTAAACACCAGACTGAAACCTATGGGATATATGAGCGTTTACTGCATCCTAAGATTGACATGTTTGACTCAAAACCATACTGGTCTGTTTTGATACAGGTTTATTCTGAATATCTCAGGGAAAGGAACAGTGTCAGCATCATGCTCTTATGACAACACCATGAAGAAAATGTGGTGTTGAATGTTATTGTTGTTTGAGAGCTCACTAGAGAGAACTCTTATATTCATATAAAACTGGGCTGCTTCCAAACACATAAATAGAGGCTAAATTGTTATGAAATATGAGGTGCTTTTCTGGAAGATTACAGCCTGGCTGAACATCAAGATAGGAAATGACTTCTAAGGACTTCTCAGGTCCTGTACTCTCAAGATAAACATATTGATCTGTCTGTCTCTCCATCTATATGCATACTTTTATGTTGTGTTATGAGATTATGCAGAACAAACTGCAAAACACACAAATGCACACAAACACCTTAACAAATACATTGTCTTACATAGCATCCTGATTCTTTTCTTTCTTTGAAATAAAGGGATGGGCAACCAACAGACCCCAATGCCCAATTGTGTGCCCATCAGAATGTCTGGGGCTTTCTGGTACTCCCACAGTCCCAAAAAGGCATTGGGTTTTTTTTTTTTTGGAGAAATGAGTATGGCCCTTGAAGGTCTAAGGATGAGGACGTATGGCCCTCAGTCTTTCTCAAGGTTCCCACCTCTTATGTAACACATATAAAGAATGAGAAGATCAGAAACAGTTTTTGTATAAGGACAATGTATACTCACTAATATTTTTCTCTGTTAGTAGGAACGTATTTTTAGCTACATGTTCTCCAGCTGAATTCAAAGTGAATATTTCTATGCAAAGAGAGTCAAACAAAATCAGTGGAAGTGTTTGACGTTTCTCCTCTGTTACCAAACAACTGGGGCTGGTGATAGAGCTGAAAAAAGACACATAATGAAATCTGAAATCAGTCATGTTTCAAATTAGAAGAGCAACACTTATTGCTTGGGAAATTATTTTTTAAAGTAATCAGATTATAAAGAAAATAATTTCTCATTTCTGAAAAGTAACTAAAATAGTTACCCTTTTTAAGGAGTGGTGTGTTTTTTTTAACAAAATCTTGCAAGCTGCTCATGGGTAATTCTCCTCTTACATACTTCGTTGTTACCTTAGGAGTAACAACACATCAATCATCATATGAACTGTGTGATATTTCTTCTCCATTATTTTCTGCAGTCACACCACTCTAACCATTGAAGTACTTAAAAAGCAACTGCTATGCCAGAAATGGAATACAATTACCCACTGATAAATTACAACTCTGCTGATACTTAGCTACATTTATTACTGGAAAAGAATTTAGTTATAGGTAGCTCATTATTTCCAAGGCCTTATAGAACAAGTGGCTCTAATACCGGTAGCTAATTTGGAAAGTGATGTCATGTGTTCAGAAGCACTATTTGTAATCCCTGACAGCAACCTTGTGGTATGATTCACCTCGATTATCCCCATACAGTAGATGGAAAACCTGAGGCAAAAGTGAACGATCTAAGGCCACTGAGCAAGTTCACAGCAGAGATGCACATCCTGAACTTTTACCTTAGTCGTTTCATCACCCAGCCGGCATTGGAAAGTGATGTCATGTGTTCAGAAGCACTATTTGTAATCCCTGACAGCAACCTTGTGGTATGATTCACCTCGATTATCCCCATACAGTAGATGGAAAACCTGAGGCAAAAGTGAACGATCTAAGGCCACTGAGCAAGTTCACAGCAGAGATGCACATCCTGAACTTTTACCTTAGTCGTTTCATCACCCAGCCGGCATCACAAAATAATGCGTACACATTTTATCAATAACCAAGCTGAAAGTGGAAAGTGATGTCTTTTACCTTAGTCGTTTCATCACCCAGCCCGCATCACAAAATAATGCGTACACATTTTATCAATAACCAAGCTGAAAGTGGAAAGTGATGTGACCTCCTTCTCAAAAAAAAACCAAAAACAAAAACCAACTTCGCTCCATAAGACGCACAGACTTTCCACCCTCCTGTTTTGTGGGGAAAAAGTGCGTCTTATGGTGCGAAAAAAACGGTAATGAGTACACATTTTATCAACAACCAAGCCGCAATGACATAGCTGATATGACCTCCTTCTCAAAAAACACACACAAAAAAAACATAATTACCTCGTATCATAGCAGAATTTATAATTGAAGTAAGCCTCAGAGGTTGCACTCCAGGTACAGATGACTTCATCAAAAATGTGTGTTACACATGTCAGATTCTGAACCTTGTATGAAGACTCTGGAAATACAAGATTAACATTATTCAACAACACTGAGCTGTGCTCTGAGAGGTGACAAAAAAACAACATCAACATGTAAGTAATCCAGCATTCTTCCCTTCAGACATATTTCACAATAGAAGCAAATGAACTTGAATCACTGGCTGGAAATTAAATATTCACAGCTGCCCAGCAACAGGACTAAAATGCTCAAGTAGACCAAACATATTTCAGGCGTATTTATACCACACATTTTGATCATCATTCTCCCTCCTCAAGGAACCCAGGGGGCTCTTGTTCTGTGAAGAGGTGCTAGAAGTCTCTAGAAAAAAAAACACTACCCAGTACCCTTGGCAAAGTCTATATTTTTTCCCAGAATGCTGTTAGAGCAGCCATGATAAGAACACTGCATTAAAGCTGATATATACAGTATTTTAGCACCTAAAATGACAAAATGCAAAAAAGAAGCTGGCTTTCAAATAGTAAATAAATCAGCATTTAAAAAAAAAAGAATAAGATCTTGTAGAAGGACTTTCAAGGCAACACTTCAGAACTAGGAGGGCCTCTTATGAGGTGTAATGAGTACAGTACTTGCAAATTTTCTCTGTTGACACACTTTCTGGCTCTCCCCAAAAGGCCTATAAACTGCCGTGAGATTTTACAATTCCTGCATAACAGCAGAAAGACCAGAGCCTTTTTCTTCAGCAGGACAACGAGCAAAACAAAACAAAAACATTGTGCACAAAATGTATACATTGTGCAAACATTTTTTTTCTGTTTTTAAAAAAAGTATTCGGAAAAAATGCCAGGTTTTCTGTGGAAAAAAGAAGCCACTTCTGTGGCTTTTCTGCATAAAAAAGTTGAAAAATATACAAAAACTCTCATAATCTAACCCATCAGGGAGAAAACGTTTCTAACAAACAAGTTTGTTTTCGCATGGATCAATTAAGTAAAGATCTCACCTCTGGAAAGGTCCTTGTATAAAATCAGAATAGACTGCAAAATGAACTGCTGAATTCAAATCCCGAGTTGCACTACTATGGACTTGGCTCTTAAGAATCCCAGTCTACTAGCACACTGTCTTTGTAGTACCACAATAATTTCATAGAACAATTCAGAGCAACATGGATGGATGTGATTGCTCATAACAGCACCAGCTCTAGGACTCCCTGCCAAGCGAGGCTAGGTTAGCTGTTCCCTAGCTTTTTACCCCCAGATGGGCAAATACATTTTCATGTAGATAGGGTGTTGGCTTTTAGGCTGATTTGATGCTGACCTGCGTTTCAATAACTGCCAGGGTGTTTGTTTGTTTGATTATTTCTTTATTTATTTGATTTATATACTGCCCATCCAGAACGTGTCAACTCTGGGCTGTTTAATGTTAATGTTATCAACACCCTGAATGTTCACTACCTGTGTTAATAATGGCATTGTCACTTTGGAAGCGCATACTAGGTGTCAACACACTGCTGTCATTTTGCTTGATTCCATTTCCACAGTCTCACTTCCACCCCAATGCAATATATTCATATGTAAACTAGTGCTTCAGATTTGTGTCACATGTGTCCGAAGCAGTGGACTGTATCTATGAAAGTTCACATTGAAATAAATTTGTTACTCATAAGGATGCCACTAGACCACTAGTTTTGTTTTGCTTTGAATTTTGATTTGGTTGTGGCTGAAACACGCTAGAATTGTAGTTTTGTTTTGCTTTGAATTTTGATTTGTTTGTGGCTGAAACACGCTAACAAAGCTACCTCTCTAAAATGTGCTAATTCTCGTTTGCCTAAGAAACAGGGATAAGAGTTCACCCAAGATTAAAATGGAGTACATGACAGACTTGCAGCATTGTTCATCTTGCTTTTTCCACTCCAAAGCAGTTTTCCTACCAGCCCCAGTATAAAGCTGGAGAAAGACTGCTTTAAGCAGTAGAGCATGGGGGAGTAATTCAGGCAAACAAGAATGGTACAGGTTGCTGTCCTCTAAAGATGCCGGCCACAGAGACTGGCGAAACGTCAGGAAGAACAACCTTCAGAACATGGCCAAAGAGCCCGAAAAACCCACAACAGCCATCAGATCCCAGCCGTGAAAGCCTTCACGAATATATTTAACAAGAATGGACTTCGCCGTGAAAGCCTTCACGAATATATTAAACAAGAATGGACTTCACTTGCATTCTGCATGTTCCATTTCATATTTAAAATGAACTATCTTTATTGCATAGGTAGAGCAGAGTCAGAATATGTGTGTGTGCGCGCGCGCGTGTTTGTGTATGTGCATATCTGAAGGCGAAACCAGATGTACACATTCATTAATCATGCATACATCTGTTTTGGCCTTCAGAGCCCGGATTGTGCAAATATAACAGATGTATGGTTCTATTATTTTCAGGTAATGGCTTATTAAATGGCCTAAAAATAGGGCTATTTTTCAAGCATTACTCTTGATTTTCCACACTTATAAATCTATAAACTGACTAAAAACACATGCGCTTCACCGGCTGAGGTTTATTTCAACAAATAACAGCCCAATTTTTAACAAATCAACAAAACATTAACTATTTGGGATTCTTTGCCCTGTCAAAACTAGACAACAAGCAAACAATAGTACAGTGGTGCCTCGCTTAACGAGCGCACCGTATAACGATGAAATCGCATAGCGATCCGTTTTTTTGGATCGCTAATGCGATCGCTCAGTGAGCTTCAGATAGGGAGAAATTCGCTTTGCAAAGATCGGTAAGCGTTTCGCTTACCGATCTTCGCAAAACGAAGCTCCAACGATCAGCTGTTTGGCGGACAAAATGGCTGCCAGAAGCCCCAAAATGACCGCGCGCAACATTTTCGCACCCTCCCCTCGCTTAACAAGGGCGCGAAAATGGCTGCCGGCCATAGGAAACCTCGCTGAACGGTGAGTAAAGGAGCCTTTTGGATGTTTAATGCATTCCAATGGCTTTCCCTGTCCCGTTCAGCGATGTTTCGCTATAGCGAGGCACCACTGTATTACACAACAAGCTATTGCTACCAGCAACATTTTTGAAAGCCTTTAATACCAATCAGAATTTTAGGTGTCATGGCAGACACTACTCCATGTGCTATAAAACAGGGATGAAGAATCTCTGGCCCTTTTGTTGGATTTCAGTTCCCATCTGCTGCAGCCAGCAAGGATAAATGTCAAGAAAGACAGGCGTTAAACCCCAACATATAGAAGGCAAGACATTGCCCACCATGGCAAACAAATCACAAAGCACAGTTCTACTACACATATGTCATGAACTTCCTTTCTACCTCTGGTGTAGACTTCAGCGGATGAACATGGGTGAAGAGGGGGTATGCAAATACCCTAAAAGCTATCTGATGAAGGTCCAACAGGCAGCACAAATTGTTTCATTTCATGTACTGTCCTACCCTTGGAGAATAGAGAGGAACATATAAAAGCCAAAAACCTGTTTCATTCAATTTATCATACAGATAAACTCTGTCATTCAATTTATCCTACTACTTATTTATTTCTTACCGCTTCCAGGGGAAAAAAATGAACAAATTTATAAAATGCTTCATTCTTTTTCACATAGAAAGAAGCTTGGCTATAATTTAAGGAGCCAGTCTTGAATATTACTAATTCATTTATGTGGCAGCACAGCCAAGCTCTCCTCTCACTCTTTCCAAGGGATATCTCTTCCTGACTTCAAAACCTCCAAAGGCATGTACAAAAAAACTCTGCCTTTTGCAAAACAAATAACCTTATTTGTAATTATTCTGTAATAACTCTGTCTTTTACAAACAGATATTCTTATTTTTAATTATCTGTATTAATTTTTATCATCTACATCGTGCACATCATGCAGTATATCTTGTTTTTCCATTCATTAATTAGATGAGGAAAAAGAACTGAAAAAAAACCCCACATAAACAGGAAACTCTCTGTCAAGCAGCCAAAAACAGATTCATCGTTTCTTCATTCTAAAGAGTCAGCTCTTTAACATTTATTGCTAATATATTTTTCTTTATTTTTCATATGCAAAATAAAAAAAAATGTAACCAGAACTGCAGGACACAAATGATTCCTTTACTCTGCAACAATATAGATACAGTATATAATTTTACATGAAACAGTTCAATTTACCAAGGATGGGGACTCAAATTATGGGTCTTGCTGTCAAGTTGGACTTCAGTTGCATCAGTGACTCGACTGAGAGGTTGTTTTTTTTTCAATGATTTCGACTCGACTCATAGACTCTGAGTTGGACTTCAGTTGCACCAGTGACTCGACTGAGAGGTTGTTGTTTTTTCAATGATTTGGACTCGACTCATAGACTCTGTACTCATCCACCCCTCCCTGTTTTCTGGCACGGGGAAGCTTGTTTTAATAGGCACTCTGACTTGGGGCTTCAGACTCGGCAATTACCACCAAAGACTTGACAAAGTTCCTGCAGTTTACACATGATAATAGCAGGACTGACTATGGTATTCAAGATACTTAATCTCTTCAGAATAGGGATGGAGACTATGCAATGGACTACAGATCCCATCATCCAACACACATGGCCATGTGTGGGAGCTGCAGGACAACAACATATGAAGGGCCTATGCAATGGACTACAGATCCCATCATCCATCACACTGTGTGGGAGCTGCAGGCCAACAACATATGAAGGGCTGCAGTGCAGGCAAAAAGGCAGAAGCCTTGCATAAAAGGACAGAGAAGAACCATTTGTGACCTAATGCTTTTCTAGGATCAATAGCTAATTCTCATCCCAGTCATGCAGGTATGAAAGAGACAAGTGACATGTTCAAAAACCAGAATTTTAGTCACATGGCACCTGGGGCTTTCCAACTGTACTTCAAGAGCATCTCTTTTTGCGTGCAGGCAAAAAGGCAGAAGCCTTGCATAAAAGGACAGAGAAGAACCATTTGTGACCTAATGCTTTTCTAGGATCAATAGCTAATTCTCATCCCAGTCATGCAGGTATGAAAGAGACAAGTGACATGTTCAAAAACCAGAATTTTAGTCACATGGCACCTGGGGCTTTCCAACTGTACTTCAAGAGCATCTCTTTTTGCAGGTGAGCAGGAACAGGAGTGGTGTGGGTACTTCCAAAGTTACATCACTTCTTTTTGTAAAGTTTTTAGCTAATGGAGAGGGGGAGTCTATAACAACACCTTCTTTATATCACCTCTTCCATGATGAGTGAAATTACGGCACATGAACCCTCAAACAGTCCATTTGCGGGATTTGCTGAAGAACAGGCAAGTCAAAACAAGAGACAAATACACCTTTGGATTAATATGCCTGTCAACGACTGGAATGGGTCAGCACTCTATATATTTCAATAGTTACAGCTAGTGTCAGCTTGGCAAGTTTGAACAAGTGCCCTGCTCGGTTAGAAACAGACAATTAACTTATGTTATTATTTGCCCGTTTGTTATTTTACTTTCCGAGCTTGACACAAACCTGCAGGCCAACAACATATGAAGGGCTACAACTTCCTGTCCATTCTCCAGAATGATTTACTCTGAAACAATGCTTTGAAAGTACTGTACCATTCCTTTTTTGTAAAATACTGATATGTGAACTCTATTTCTATGAGCTGAAGGAGTTTGTCTGTACTGTATCTCTATTATTCTCTTAGGTTCAGCTGCTGTTCAACCTCCACGGCGTGTTCTTAGTACACTGACCGTGCTTCACAATCCAGGGAGGAAACTGAATGAATTTATAAAATGTTTTATTCTTTTTACCACAGAAAGAAGTCTGGCTATAATTTAAGGGGCCAGTCTTGAATATTCAGAAAATTTAAGAGTTCATCGAACTATTAAAGAATCAAAACAACACAGTACTTTTTTAAAAAAAAGAAACCCCTTTTAAACTCAGCCCAGTTTTTAGATAATAATAATTTTAAGATAATAAAATTAAAACAAAACAAACAAAAACAAGAGTAATAACAAGCAAAAGGCAAAATATACTAAATCATATTACAGTAGTACCTTGGTTTATGAAATTAATGCATTCTACAGGACATTATGTAAAGTGAAATATTTGTAAACTGAAACGCGGATTGCCATAGGAATGGGGGTGGCACTATAAACCTCCAGGCACAATGCATCCTGGGGAAACTTTCTTTGTAAACCGAAACAAACAAACAAACAAAATGTAAACCGAAGCATTATTCTCAATGGATTTCCGTTTGTAAACTGAAAATTATGTTAACTGAGGTGTTTGTAAATAGAGGTACTACTGTATATGATTTAGCAAAAGCCATTACACCGTTTGTAAACTGAAAATTATGTTAACTGTATATCATTTAGCAAAAGCCATTGCAGTAAGTTGTGTGAACCTGCTAACACACAGTTTTTCTCCTTCCTGTTCCTGATCTCTTATTCCTTCCTTAACCCTTATCTTGTAAACCGCTCTGTGGGCCTTTTCTACTGGGTATAAATCAGGGTGGACAATCAGGACACATCAGGGGCTCAAATGCCCCCACTGCCTGTTTGTACCCCAACAGCACTCCACAACTCCCACAATTTATTTGGCTCAAACATTCAGTTTTTGCCCTCTAGAAACTATGCAGGGCAATATATGCCATGTTTTATAGCCCCTTAACATCAACCTGCAGTCCCACGCGGGACATTTATTTTTTCTGTCTGTACCCCAACAGCACTCCACAACTTCCACAATTTATTTGGCTCAAACATTCAGCTTTTGCCCTCTAGAAACTATGCAGGGCAATATATGCCATGTTTTATAGCCCCTTAACCTGCAGTCCCACGTGGGACATTTATTTTTTAAAATATGTATTTTGGCCACTGAAGCATTCCAGTTAAACTATCTCATTTATGTTTGCAATTGCATTTTTGGAAGGGAGGGGCGAAGAGTTATGGGATGTGGCCCAATAAGGTTTCTGGAATGTATTGTGTGAAACCCCCACTCAAATGTCTGACAGAAAAACTATAAACAAACAAAGATTTCTGTATTCAAAGGCAGTATCTTATTATGTTTCAGGTGGTGATGCAAACAGGGGAAAGACTTCATGATCTGCTTAGGAACGTCTTGTGTCCCCCTTAACAGGTATTGATAGCAAGGGAATATGACACTAGATGTACATTTATTCAGACCCAACAAGAATAACAGGTTGTGAGCCTGAGAGTTGGGAATTCCCTCTGCAGAATACAGTAAGTGGTGCCTCGCATAACAATGTTAATTGATTCCATTAAAAACATCGTTATATGAAAACATCGTTAAGCGAAACACCATTTCCCATAGAAATGCAATGAAAACCGGTTAATCCGTTCCAATAGGAGCCTATTCAATACATTTCAATGGTGAAAAAAAAATCACAAAAAATTCAAAAAGACTCAGAACGAAGCCAAATTACTTTAACAAAGGTTTTATTAGGTGCACTAACGATTCCAAGCATTTTAAACATTTTTTAAACATTTTAGAATATTTTTAAAATAGCAAAAACAGGGCTGCCAAAAAAAAGTTAAGCGAAACAGGGGACCTAAAACTGTCATCGTTAAGCGAAGCAAGGTCCCAAATATCGTTATGCGAAAATCCCCCATAGGAAACATCGTTAGGTGAGGCGGCAAAATTGCCAGCAAAGGCCATCGTTATGCGAATTCATCGTTGAGCGAGGCACTCCTTAAGCAAGGCACCACTGTACCAGCAAGGGGAGACCAGAGGCTTCCACTTTATCTTAAACGCATTTTAACATGTCCAGACTACAGACTGTATTTCAATTTCATTATGGCTATGAAGTCAGCTATAAACTATTACCTGACAGTGAATTATTTTTCATTAATTGCCGTTAATAGTGAGCCTCGTGGCGCAGTGGTTAAAACGCTGTAATGCAGCAATTTCATTATGGCTATGAAGTCAGCTATAAACTATTACCTGACAGTGAATTATTTTTCATTAATTGCCGATAATAGTAACAAAACAAGCTACAGTTAATCTAAAAGAGAAGCAAGAGCTTCCCTATTTCTTGTACGTGTATCAGGGGAAGGGAGGGCAGCATGAAAGCTGGAGGCTCACCATGGCTCAGTTAAAATTATGTCCGAACAAGGTATATGTGTTACAGGGAACTGTCCTTCACCTCCTGTGTGACTGTGATCCAGTCACCTTGCAGGAAAATTAATGCATGTTTCTACATCAGATCCTCTACTTGAAGAGGAAGCATGAAAGTTCTCAAAACTATGGGTTGTGTTATAGCTTTCAAGAGGCTCTTGAAAACCTAAAAGAAAGCCTTCAGGGGAAATTAAAAATGTTCCCTTTAATTTACAAGTGACCACATATAAAAATAATCCAGGGTACCACAATGTATCACTAACAATTGCGGCCTCTCCACAATGACCTTGATGTATATGGGGCACTCCAACCAAGCTTTAAACAAGCAAACTTACATTGTCAGTAAGCCCCTTCCTGAGGAATTCAGATACCTACAACCCACAAGATACACAAACACAACAGCCCAGCACTATATTAGAATCTGCTTCCATACCTGTGTGTGTGTGTGTGTGTGTGTGTGTGTGTGCGCGCGCGCGCACGCGTGTTTGCTTTGTTGCTTCTAATCTCTATTCCCTACACTGCACTCCATTAATTCATTCCATTATCAGCTTCTAACCACCTTTTTCAAGATCCTTAAAGTCTAGAAATCTGACTTTATGAAGGAGCCACAATTCCCTCAAAACAAAGAACATTGCCAGGGCTTGTTTAGAGTGACTGAACAAAGCAGACAAGTATAACAACAAAAAAGAGATAAATAACCTATGTTTTAGTATATTTCTACTTCACCACTCTGAATGCTTAAGGCAGCTTATAACTCTTCCTAAACATCAGTTTTGATCTTTCAGGATCTCATGATCCATACATAGCAAAAATAATCAGTAAATTAGAAGATCAACCTTTATAATGATGGGAACCTTCAACTGCTCTATAAACTGCAAAAGTGGTTCCTTCCAAATGTTACGGAGTTTTTATGCAATTGCTTATTTTTAAAAATTGTATAGCCCAAATCACCAATAAAATCACATACTCAGCAATACATTTATTGGTACAAATACAATCCATTCCTATAATCCCTTAATACGTTCATCTTATCATGCTCTTTATTTAATTCTAAACCAACATCTAACTAAGGGCGCCAACTTTAAATGAAATTATCTTTTTTTATTTCTCTTCTAACAGTCTAAGGCAAGGAGACAAATTTTCCATTAATGATATTGCCCATATTCTATATTTCTATTCTATCTTTGGAAGGAAAGTCCTGGAGCATTTTTCCATGTCAAGGCAATTTCAATTCTTGCAATCCCTACCCCAAATGTTATGGAATGCAACACTGAAAATCTCTGATAATGAGCCGTGGTAGCAAAAGCTGGCAGGAGCTATAGTACAAAATCTCTGGAGTATATCACATCAGGGGAACAGCTGGTGTGAAGCATAAAATGCAAGGGAGCCATTATGCAAGAAACCAGAAGAGCAAGAGAAGTATCAAAATACACTAACCTGTTTTCTGACTGTGGACCAAGTCGTTCAGGATAAAGAAAGGAGCTACTGCCAACAGAAAGCACGGAATTTGATTAATCCACATTCTTTTGCAATTCAGTATGAAGAGCTGGTCACCTCAAGCAGGAAAAAGTATCATCCTTCACATAGACAGGCTCTAACAATTAAAAACAAACAAACAAACAAAAAGAAAAGTTAATTTACAATGCCTGTAAATTTCCTAACATCACTGCAGGCTTATATTCTTGGATAACATTATAAGATATAAAAGGAATCCATGCCTGAGTATTTGTGATGGAAAACTGTGGAGGGTGTTATATATTACTGCACTGTTGTTGTTTTTATAACCTCCAATATTTGGTGTTGGAACCCATGGGAACCATACAAGCACATACAACTTTGACAAAATGTGTTATTTTTTATAGATGGTGTATTTGCTCATGCAACAGCTGCAAAAAAAACTTCGAACAAATATGGGACAGGCTGATGTCTCTTGTGCTATGTGCAGATGGCCAACAAAGCCTCCTGTGGATAATTTTATAAAGGGCCACAACACATGTGGTGTGGGAGAACAGTGATAATTAAGAAATTAAGAGAAGTAGACAAAGACAGGAGGAATTCTGAATAGATCCTAGCTCACCTACACTTGCTCCCTTTTGACTTCTGTCAGATTTAAGGTATTAGTTAGTTATTACTTATAAAGACCTAAACATTTTGGGACGTTGTTACTTATCGGAGCACCTCTCCTCAAGAATATTTACCGTAACTGTTTGTTCAACCTCCTCCTCTTGGGCCACATAATTGAGGGTTCCTACCCTGACAGAAGTAAAGAAAAATAATAGCAGAATTTGGGCTTATTCAGCAGTGGCACCCTTGTTGTGGAATAAACTTTCATCAGAAATTAGACAGTCCCCTCCCTATAGATCTTCAGAAGATTATTAAAGACAGAGCTGTTTAAGGTAGCCTTTGGCAACATCTTAGGCTAATTTATGAGACCCATGCATTACATTTGTAGCACTGGTTATTATTTTTATTATGCTGGTGTACATTTTTTTATTATGTCATCTTTCATGTAATTTGGTTTGAGTTATGTGTCAATCTTAGATCACCTTTTCCATGTAGTTTGTGGTATAATGCTTTTTTGTTATTTTATTGTTTTAGCTGGCTGTAAGCTCTGCTTAGTTATGCAAACTGCCCCAAGTAGTGTTCTACTACGTCAGGTGGTCTATAAGCTCAAGCAAGCAAGCAATAAGATAGAATAAAGCAGAAGCACAATGACAAAAAGTTCATAACCTTTAAAATGTTGACTGCCTAGCTACTAAGTTTACAACTGAATTTGCATGGAGGTGTGGATAGAAAGGAAGATTCATCCTATTTATTTTTGGCAGAATGGTGGTATTTCAAACAGAGGAAATACTGAGGAAGTTTATCATACTCTCTACTACACCACTTTGTGTATTAGTATGAATGAGTCACTTCCACCTTGACCCTACAAATTAATAGGGACCTACAAAGGTCCTTTCCTTAATAGACCTGCTCAAGTCTAGCAGTCTAAGGGGTGTCAATTATTAAGTCAATCCACCTCATGTTAGATCATTTTCTTTTTCCTATCACCTCCAGTGTTTCCTTACATTACTGTCTTTTCCAGCGAGCCTTACCACCTTATTATCCTCATAATATGCCCCAATACAATAGCCTGACTTTAGTCATTTTACCTTCTAGAAAAACTTCAGGCTTAATTTCATCTAGAACGCACTTTATCTTTTTGACACTCCCATGGTATCCATAAAACTCTTATTCTAACATCACACTTCAAATGAATTGTTTTTTTTTTTGTAAGCTTTCTTCATTGTTCATTTCTCACATCTATATACAGTAATCAGATATGCCACCGTCTGAATGATCTCCTTGACCTTCCTGGTCCTTCCTCTTGCCCTTAAGAATATTTCAGCTTTCAGTCTCCCTTAGATGTTTTTGCTGTTAGTCTTCCTTTTATTAAAATATTGAGCCATGTTATCGAAAATATTCAAGAGTTGCAATGTTTTTATTGTCCAGAAAAAAAATTAGGAGAAGGCCATGCAGTTCAGGATTTTTTTTTCATTGTCAGTCTTAAAGCTATGACATTCCTTAAGCCACATACTGTAATTCTTCTGTAGTCATTATTTTTTCATTTTAATGTTCAGCTGCAATCACTACTATTATCCCAATCCAATTTGCCCTCCTTTACGCTCAGTGGTGGCTTTTTTCCCCCCTTCTTAAATAAAATCCAACAGAGGAATTCACACATTGCTTCCATTTTGCACATCACTTGTAAGTGTATTATGCTGTTTTTCTATGGGAGGGGCTTGTGTTTTCTTTGACATCATCATCACCACCAGCAAAGCAAGTTCATTGTGGTCGACTCTTCTCAACCTAAATGTTTCTCTGCAATTAGCTGAGTCAATCTTTGGCATTCAAAAATCACTGAAACAGTAAAGGAACACACTATTTTTAACAACCATGAGATTCAGTTATTTGGCAGTCAGTCTGGGATTTACTCCCCATTTGGCTGAATCCTTTTAACCAAATGTCCCCTGTAAGTGTTTCCAAAACCAAAATGCTTGGGTAAGCTTTCTCTCCTACCCTTTTCCTAAGAAAACATCCTGCTTTCTCACTAGTGTGCTGCAAAAAGTTTTCTCCCAGGCAAGAAATGTCTATCCGTGTCTTTACCTGATGCACACGCATGCAGGCAAACACATTCACATACTCAAATTATGTACTACTTAGCAATCTGCAGAGCTCCAGTGTTCTTTCTTTCATACCTGACCCACCTTAAATCACTTATCATGCCTTTTTAGATTTATATTTAATGTCCTTCTTTTAGAAACAGAATGCTAGACCAGCAAAATAGTCCTAAATTAACTGTATATTAATGGAGTCATTAACATATACGAATCTCTTATTAAAATGTTAAAAAACTGAATCGGTGTTAACTAGGAATGTGAACTATACTTGCTATTCTCATCAATTTAGGCTGTTTCAATGCAACGAGACAACTTAGATGAGGCATTTTCGAGCCGCACCAAATTCCTCACCTCAAGTACTAAAATGAGCAAGGTCACCAAGACTTCTGTGATTTATGTAAAATGTTTTTATGGTTCTCTGTATAAAACTAATGTCATTTCCCTTTAAGAAGAAAAGCAAAGGCAGAGAGAGAGCTGGCACAGCAGTAGCTGACAATTTTTAAAGGTGCAAATAACCCATAGTAGCTGACAATTTTTAAAGGTGCAAATAGCCCGTGGTGGTGCTGCGGGTTAAACTGCAGAAGCCTCTGTGCTGCAAAGTCAGAAGACCTGCAGTCGTAAGATCGAATCAACCCGACGGAATGAACTCCCGTTGCTTGTCCCAGCTCCTGCAGTTCGAAAGCATGTAAGTGCAAGTAGATAAATAGGTACCACCTTGGTGGGAAGGTAACAGTGTTCCACGTCTAGTCACACTGGCCACGTGACCATGGAAACTGTCTTCGGACAAACACTGGCTCTATGGCTTGGAAACAAGGATGAGCACCGTGCCCTAGAGTTGGACACGAGTGGACTAAATGTCAAGGGGAGCCTTTACCTAACCCATTTGATGCTTCAGATTTTTAAAAATCCACAAAACAACAGGTATTACAGTTCTGCACAAGTTGTGCAAGTTAACAATTTGCACAAGTAACACAGTTTGAATGTGTTCATACTTGTGTTCAAAAATGTATTCCATCAATAGTACCAGCAAATATTTCACCATCCTTATCTGTGAGGATGAGACAAACAAGGATTTGCGTCCCTTGTCTTAAGTCTTCCTGACATTGTTTCAGTCAAATCAAACACATTTTCCAATATCAACTTCAACTTGATGATATAAGAATGAATCATCTACAATGTAGGCCCCATGTTATTTTTAATTGGGTCCAAATCTCCTGCTTATCCCAATTTGTAAAGTGACAGAATCAACACACCAGATTTGATTTTACTGTATTCATATACGTAGAGTATTAAGATGTCAAGGTTTGAAACCTTGTATAAATGAGTTAGAAAAATAATAAAATAATTATGGGGGGTGCAGGGGGGAAAAGTGCTTTAAAAGTAAAATTATTTTTAAAAGTGTGGCTTCAACGTTTTCAAAACATTCTGCATTTTTAACAACAATTAGCCAGCTCTGGCAGAGCAAAGTCATTGAATTCATAAACATCTTGGCAACTGAATGACTGTTTTGCTTTAGATTGAATGTTTTGATTAGAATTTGTAAACATACATACAAGATCATAGTAAACAAATTTGTGAATAAAACACAGTGAAAATGGTATAATCTTATAGCACCATCTTTTGGAAAAAAGCAAATAAATGAATTATAGGTTTTCCTGGCTTCAGAATACAGTGGTGCCTCGCTCCGTTTTACGAAGAAACTGCTTGACGTTGACTCTTTTGAAAAATAATAAAATAATTATGGGGGGTGCAGGGGGGAAAAGTGCTTTAAAAGTAAAATTATTTTTAAAAGTGTGGCTTCAACATCATTGTTTTCAAAACATTCTGCATTTTAACAACAATTAGCCAGCTCTGGCAGAGCAAAGTCATTGAATTCATAAGCATCTTGGCAACTGAATGACTGTTTTGCTTTAGATTGAATGTTTTGGTTAGAATTTGTAAACATACATACAAGATCATAGTAAACAAATTTGTGAATAAAACAAAGTGAAAATGGTATAATCTTATAGCACTATCTTTTGGAAAAAAGCAAATAAATGAATTATAGGTTTTCCTGGCTTCAGAATATATTAGTCCAGAATTTGTCTCAGAATACAGTGGTGCCTCGCTCCGTTTTACGAAGAAACTGCTTGACGTTGACTCTTTTGCAAAACGATGTTTCCTATGGGGAATTTTGCTTTGCGATGTTGGGTTCCCTGCTTTGGGAACTGATCTTCGCAAAGCGACGATTTTCGCACAGCTGATCGGCGGTTTCAAAATGGCCGCTGGGAAAATAAAATGGCTCTCCGCTCTTTTCTGGGACAGATTCCTCGCTGCACAGGCAGTGAAAATAGCTGCGCTATGGAGGATCTTCACTGGATGGTGAGTTTCCAGCCCATAGGAACGCATTAACCAGGTTTTAATGCATTTCTATGGGCTTTTAAAAATAGCTTTA